TGAGAGAAGAGCCAGAAAACAAAAGAGGGACGTCATATTCCATCTGCTCATTCTCATATCCTCGAAAAAAAAAGAAAAATCCCGCATAATTCCCAAAACCCATCATCAAATAAACCTCGTGCTTCTCTCCCGCCAGCCAAATGGGCAATTCAAAACAGCCGCCCCTTTCCCGTAAACCTATAAACCACACCCATTCTATTTCGTCAACCTCCTCGACGACCCACTTCCACTTTGACAGAAAAGTCAGCAAACGATTCGCATTGCATTTTCAACTCCAACCACCACCAGCACCAGTAACCCCCAATCAACCGTCCCGTCCCCTCCTGCCCCCCAAAAAAAGAAAATCAAGTCCACTCACCTCTTTTCCGTCGCCGCATTCCACGTCTTAACAAACGCCTTCTGCGTCCTATCCGTATACTTCTCGGTACTAACTTCTCTAACCCCAACTTTGGCCCCATCTTTAGTGAAGACGACATTTTTCTTCTCCATATGCTTTGTACCGCGCTGAGCTAGTTCTTCGGAGTAGAGGAAAATCTAATACATTACACACACGCGCACATATTAGCTTTTGTTCACTCGTGTATATCTCTGTTTGTCGCTGTGGCTTGTTTCGCTTCGCATTCCTCGCAATCGCCAGCGCCCAAACATGGCGGGAAGTTCTGCAAGTTCACGCAACAACAGGGAAAAAGAGGGGGGGGCGTACTTGATACCCGATCCAACCCAACCCCGCCACAACAGCGAAGAGAATGAACAGCGGAATCAGATTTAAAGCGCCCATGGCTAAACTGGGTTCGACTGGATTGCGGGTTGTGGAGACAGATGTGGCTCGTGTGAGGATGTGCAGGCGCAGGCGCTGGCGCTGGCGGTGGGGGTGTCGAGGTAAAGTGACGTGGTACGCGCACGAACTGGACAGCGACTCAAGAAAGCGTGTGCGTGTGCGTGTGCGTGTGCAGGAATAAAACGGTGGGCGCAATGTACGTGTGTGGGTGCGCGCGCGGGGGTGCGTAGGCGTTGCGTTGCGTTGCGTTACGTGCGGGGGGGGGGGGAGCGAGGCCGTTAAGAGCGCGATCGATTGCGGGCGTGCGAAAAAAACAACGAATGTACACTACGTACGTAGTAACGAAAGAAAGATATCGATATAAAAGGTTTCTACGCACACACACACCAACCCCTTCTTTTATCAAAGGAAAAAAAAACAAGTGTGAGCGTAAAGGCTTACGGACCAAAAAACGTGGCTTAGAGTTAACAAGAACCACTACGACCGGGGAGCACAGTTTGTTTTAAGATTAACGATGCAAGGGGGGCGCAGCGAACGCAAAATAACGCTTTTCTCGATTCCCCCCCCTCCCCCGTTTTTATTTTAACTTGATGAACCCCCATGCGATACACGACAAGACGCTGGCTGAAACGCCCCTTGGAATTATCGTGCGCGCGCTGGGTAAGGGTAAGCATTTAGCGTCGAAGGGGTGGTGCTCGGCCCGCACCCGATCTATCCGGGCCATTTCTCATCGAGTTTTTTTGCTTGCGTTGCTTGGCGGAACGAGGCGAGGCATGGGTATGGGGAGAGGGGTATGGCCGAGAGACTGTTTTCTTTGACGTTGTATACATCATTATCACGTATCGTGCTGTAGGTGTTGTGTTAGACCAGACAAATCACATGGACCCTGGTGTATGCGCCCCAAGGGGGATCACACGAACTCGTGCGCAGGACAGGATGGGCCCACGATACGAAGGTTAACGTGCCGCGCCACCCCGTATATACTTTTGTGGTACTTGCCGGGGCTGTGATCACGATATGACCTCTCTTTTTGCACTTTGTTCTTACTGCTATCAGAAGACACTAACAGCACTTCAAGGAAACATGGGTCCACATGTGAGAACATGTCTCCTTGCCAGAACCAGGACCTGTGCACTACTGAGTCCAAACTTGGTGCCGATAACTGAGAGCCGACCAAATAGCCAGTCGCGTTGCTCTTGTGGTACACTCTCAGCGTTTGCTGCGACGTACAGTGGCCAGACTAACGAGTATCCGCCAAAGGCTTCTGCGGCTGTAAACTGTCAGTATGCTGAAAGCCTATCCTGGCTAACGTCTCAAACACTCACCGTTTTGTTCCTGGCCCGTCTCCTTGGCTAGAGGCTGGAGCTCATAGCTCATATGAAAAGGCACACATGCGCTAATCTCATCCACCATTGTTTGAATGACAAACACACTCTTGTTCCACGCTTGATCTTCCTCTGAAAAGTCGCCGCCTGAGCTCAGCCAGGTTATACAAGCCATGATGACCCGGCGACAGAATATCCTACAAACCCGGTAGTCGTTCATGATACTCGCCAGTGGCACATCGTGATAGACATGCTGCTCGCCAGGCCACTTCTCTGCCAAGGCAATATCCTCGGGCGCCAGTGTCTCATTGGATATGCTGATAATGCGGTGTTTCCATTCCGATGGCAGCGTGCGATACCATTCTTCAAGGTTCCCATCGACTGTTTGTGCGAAATCGAGTATCTGCTTGGCCTCGGATTCATACCTGGGGTCGTACGGCATAGATGTGAGGGTATTTGCGCGGGCGCGAAGATTGGGTAGGTCAATGCAGATAAGTGTTAACCGGTTGGCAGCGTTTTCATCACTGAACTCGCCAGTTCCAAGCCATCCTGCTGCACCGGGAAAAGACTCGATGGGCTTGGATCGCTGCACACAGCTTGTAATCTACATTCGCTGAGTTACTGATCCCCATGGATAGAGTATGGAGTCTTACCATCATTGTGCGTACGGCACGAAATATAGCATGAGACATGGGGTCGTTGAATTGCTCCGTTCCTCTTAATTTTGTCAACGCGACAGCTCCGTCGACGTGATTGCCCCATGCCCTGATGGTGTCGTCGGTACTCATGATTGTCTGCGGGTTGTTAGACTAGCTCAATCATCCATCGACCCGAAACACGAGTCGGATCAAGGCCTCACAACTTACTTCGTACAGAGAGAACATGAGTATAGCAAGCACTGTCTCATCGCTCTTGGACATCTTGGGATCTCGAAGGTCCTCGTGTAGCTTCTTGATGGCTTTGCCGTAGGTGGACACAGCTTCGCGAAGGAGCCGATGTCGACCGGGATACTGACCACACGTTGCCATTGCAACAGCATCAGTGGCCAGGTGCAGTACAGACGAGGGACGGGCACGATTATAAAGGGGAACCAAGTACTCGAGAAAGCCTCTTGTACTCTCAGCCTGTTGCGGCAAGGTGATGAAGTTTTTGAAGAAAAAGGGCACGGCTTCGCATTCTGGGGAAAGGAAGATGGTGTTTGGGACTGCGTTTTCAAAGTTCCAGACAAAAGTCTCGAAATCGAATGACTTGTCCAAGGATTGTGAAGGTGTCGTAGGGCTAGGTAGGGCTAGTAGCTGCTGCGATTGGATCGAGTCTGATCGCTTTTGTAATTTTGATTTTACTCTCCTAGAGGCCTCACCACGTTGGAGCGCATTGTCCACTGGCCATGGCTCGAACGTTGAAGATGGTGACCTAATAGGATTAGCTAGGTTCTTGTCTTGTGCGAATCACACAGCAGCAAAAAGTCGACACTGACAGAAAGACAATGGCGTCCAGGCACATGATTGGGCTGATTGGTGCGGGTTGGTTGCATCACTAGTGGTTCGGTCTAATACATACAGATAGGGAGAAGTATGCGAGCTGGAACTCCCAGTACTACTACTTGACCGAGTAGCCCCAGAAGTTTTCCTCGCCTTCTTTGCCATTGCCTTGTTCTCGTCCCGGAAAACCAGATCGAAATCGTCTGGATATCCTGGACACACACGGGCTGATTTCTTGCAGTTGCCACATGTCGGCCGTTTTTCGTCGCACTGGGCAAGGTTAGTGGACGGGCTAGAGTGTGTGTAAAAGCGGTTGCCGCCACTCGCAACAGATTGCCTGGACCCTTGGTGGTATGGAAGGAGAAATGGTTGCGAGAAGGAGATACATACCTTTATTCGGCGGGTCTTGCACATGCCACACCCACGGCTCGGCTTACCGGTGTAAACCATGGTTGTTATAAGAGCAATCCACGAGACGTAAGAAAGATCAAAAACAGTCTTGTCCTGACACTTGGGCGCAATCCAACACCAGTTCTCTTTGTTTGTTTGTTTGTTCTGGAAGGCCTGGCTATAAGCGAATTGGAAATAGGGCAGTGATGTGCCTGAGTCGACCTTTTGTGACACTGCCCCTAAAGCGTACGACTACTATTAAATCTCCGTCACCACTAAATTGCAGCAGGCGTCGTCGAGTGACGAAACTTGGATAAGGTTCTGAGCAGGCGGACGGGCAACGCTGCGACGACCGAGGCACGCGACAACCGGCTCGAAGAGTCGAGTTTCATGCGGTGGTCAAGACGGCCATGCGTGCGGGCAATGCGAGGTCTTGAGCCCTAGGGCAGGATTTCGCGATCGGACGGCTGGAGATGCAAGGAGACAAGACAGGCTAGCCAATGGGGAGGGCCGGAGGCGTAAGTTTACACCAGGAACAGCATCTTGAAGACGGCAGATGGAAACATTGGCATTCCGATTCGGCGGACAAGTGCGCACCGAAAGTCCATGACGGAAAATGCAGTAGTGGTCGATGTGTTTTCTCGCAAGCAATACCAGATGCGGCCTAGGGCAGTAAGGAAAACAGTGGCGCAGCTGCGTGGCCGTGTTGGTCGCATTGCTTGCTGGGCGTCTTGAAAAGGAGCGTCATGTCACTTGGATGTTTTAATATTGCTGCCTGGCTTTTTGTGTGTGTGTGTGTGCGTGCGTGTGTAGGCGCTTTGCTGGCGCGACTCGGACGCGTCACACTCTTCCACCTCTGCAGCAAAGGGTGACGATATCTAATGACTAGATGATTCAGAAGCGACCGGAATGCGAGGAACGAGGGAATGAGTCGGGTCAGACAGGAGGGGGGGAAAGAAGAGCAGGAACATGGGTGAGGAGAGCTGATTGGGGTCAAAACAAAGGGCGAGTCGGACACTCTGCGAGCTCCGAGGCGACGCACCCAGCGACGACGAGGCAGAGGGGTTCCTTCCTCGTCCGAAACTCAGGATGCGCCTTCCGATTCCAACTCTGACGGCAGTCACGATATCTTGGCCATGCGACGTCAATATCACTCTGGAATGCTCACTTCTGAGCCTGTTTCCGCGCGTTATCTTGGCCTGCAGTCATGGAGGTCTGTCATCAAGTCAGATTGCAAACAGAGCAGCTCAGAACTGGAGCCGAGTTCCCGGTCACAATGTTGAGAGTGCCCAACATCATGCGGACGATTTACGGTGAGATAGGAGAGGGTGAAAAGTCCGCCGGAAGTACCGGGCACAGTGTCAAGCACGAGGGATGTATGTTGGAAGAAGGAGACGAGATGAAGCGTCTTGTGCACGGCTATGGTTGTATGCCATTGCAGTGAGTCGACTCTCGAGCGATGCATTCTGCTTTGGGATGAATCAAAGTCACGTGATGATGACGTGAGAGGCCATTCTGAGAAGACAGGCAAGAGCAGCAAGTCGAAGCGGTCACGTGGACTTGCTTGGTAACGGCCTGCCGTGGGCAAGTGCAATGTTTAATTGAAGACGAGATAGCGGCGGGGGTGCGAAATGAGCAGGAAATTACGTCGGATAAACCGTTCTAGATCCCAGCCTTAACACGGCACTGACATGGCAAGGAGCCATTAAGCGAAAGTGAGCGTATAGTTAGAGATTAATGAATAATAGCATGTTATACTACGACTGTGCAAGCGGGCACCGGACAAGGCGATTGTAAGTACATGTGTAGTGGGAAAACAAACAAACAACGTGTGCAATGAAAAGGCGGGCGTGACAGGCGCGTGGCCAGGGCTCTGATGGATGCAGGGCGTGATGGCGGCAAAGGGACTGGCCCAGCGGGACTCTGACTCTGGCTGGCGGCTGAGAGATCGCGTGGTCCAGGCGACGATGAAGGGGGATGAAGGGCATTGGACGGGCGATTTCCATCTTGTCCCTCTAGGCCCTAAGCAACGACCACCAAGACACACGAGCTGACGGGAGTGTCTTGGCCAGGCGAAAAGCCTGCGGGTTGGTCACTGCATGCTATTGTTGCTGCTATTACCGACTTGCTGCTGCCGCCAGCGGATGCGATGAGCAACCAGCAGCAGCAATATTTGTGTGGACACGTAAGATATTTCGGTCCTCTGCCTGCACAGCCCTGTCTTTTGGCGGACGTCATACTCGGACCAGCCACTGCAACCGTCAAGAGTGGCCATGTGGTGGCCCTGCATTCACAGATGGCCGTCTATTTTTACGCGCACAGCCACGCCCATCAACGGTCGGCGCGAGAGCCCGGCGACCAGGGTCGCAGCAGCGACATGGCTTTTGGACAGTTGTTGAGCAATTGTGCAGGAGGCAGCGTCATTATCAGCAGCACCATCTGGTAGCAGCAGAAGTAGCGTCCCGTTATGGGAGGGATGGGATTTGTGAGCAAGTACGAGAGGACCCAAGAGGGCCATGTGTTAAGCGTCTCTGCGGATGCTTACGAGGGCGGCGAATGGCCTTGGAGCGGACCCGAGCGAGGGGCGTCGATAGGCTGTTCTTGGAGTAGTATTGCTCAGCTCGTGTGCGCGATTACGAGACTTTCTTTGCTGGCAGCAGACAGGTCGGGTTAGCTGGCCAGCCCTCTCGTGTGTCTGTGTGTGTGTGCACCGCCGCGTCCTGTCTTGCCATTGTCTAGTACTGCTAGCCGCACGGCGTGAGTGTGTGTTTTATGTAGCTAGTCCCCTAGTAGTGTGTATCTGTGGCACGACCGACGAGCGCAGGGCGGCTGATAAAAAGAAACGCATTCCCGCGCCCTTCACAAAAGTCTCCCTGCACCGAGTTCCCCTTCCGCCTCGTCGCCCAGCTCGTTCGTGTTCTCGAACGCGGCCCAACAAGCATCCTTCGATAGCGCTGGATCCAGAGGCCTGCACCATTCCCCCATCCCAGTGCAGCTAGCGCCGCGCGTCTTTGCCTGATTCGCGTGTCCGCCCCCCCTTGCCTCGCTGCCCGCACGGTTTCAGACCAGAGCAGAATACTGGGCTCGGGCGCCTCTCTTCCCTCTCCTCAACCACCACATCGCTCGCTCTCGTTCGTTATCTGTTTCACCTGTGCTACCGTCGCTTTTGCCAGGACGCTTGCCCGCCCGCCCACTGCCTGCTTCACGGCGCAATCGCCCCCATCTTGTTTTTTTTGTCCTTCACTTTCCACAACTGTTCTGCTTGACACCACGCCCGCATACTCGATTTAATCTATCTGTTTCTCCCTTTTTTTTCTTGCCCCCTCGGCACGTCCGTCGCACACGCCCTTCGTTATCGACAGTCGCTCTCCCCCTGTGAGGAACGCCCGCGGGCGGACGACCACCAAACACCACCAGCAACAATGAGGCTCACCACGAGATACTCGACTATGCTCGCCCCCCTCATATTACTCGCCTCGGCCCCTCTAGGCGCAATGGCGGGCGACGTTTTGCAGACCAACGGCTTCAGCTCCTGTCTCGACGGCCCTTCGGACATTATAGTCAACAGGCTCGACATCAAATTCGACCGTTCCACCAAGAAGGTGACCTTTGATGTCTCCGGCACAAACGAGAAGACGCAAAAGGTCATGGCTACCCTCACTGTAGCCGCATATGGCCGAAACGTCTACAACAGAACCTTCAACCCTTGTGACGGTGACGTCAAGGTTGACCAGCTGTGTCCAGGTACGCAAAATTCTCTCTTCTGGCGCCTTGATCACATCAAATGCTAACCCAGCCCAGTTCCTTCTGGTACATTCAGTGCAAAAGGTGAACAGAGCATCCCAGACGACATCATGTCCCAGATCCCTGGCATAGCTTTCAATATTCCGGATATCGACAGTCAGGCCAAGATGTACCTCCGATCTATTGACACCAACCAAGACCTGGCCTGTATCACCTCGTCAGTCACCAACGGAAAGTCCCTTTCGACTACGGGTGTGCAGTACATCGCCGCAGGACTCGCTGCCGGTGCTCTAGCCGTCTCTGGTATGGCCGCCTTCGCGAGCGCCGGACACGCTGGCGCCCCTCAGTCCAGTCCTACCTTTGGAGATGTCATTGGATGGTTCCAGGCCATGTCACTTAACGGCATGATGAGTGCCGATGTTCCTGGTGTCTATCGCAGCTGGGCAAGTAACTTTGGTTTCAGTACTGGCCTTATCTGCTGGGACGACATGCAGCGCTCCATTGACACGTTCCGTAAGAATACCGGCGGCAATCTCACCGAAAGCAACTACGATTACCTCAAGAACGCGACCCTTGTCCACGTGAACCAGGACAAGAGCTTGAGCAAGCGCGCTATGAACCTGCTTCTATGGGCTCGTGACGAACTGAGTACCAACATCAACCAGGGCTCGGCCCCACAGGAGAGCGACAACAAGATCATGATCTACGCAAAGGACATGCAGGGCTATATCCAGGAGTATTCAATCCCCGATCGCAATGCCTTCATGACCGTTCTGCTCATCTTTGCTATTGTCGTTGCTGCCATTACCGTTGGTATCCTGCTCTTCAAGGTTATTCTGGAAACCTGGGCCCTCTTTGGCAGCTTCCCCAAGCGCCTGACGAGCTTCCGCAAGCGATACTGGTGGACCCTGGCAAAGACCATTACCAACTTGATTCTCTTGCTTTACGGTATCTGGGTCCTCTACTGTGTTTACCAGTTCAAGAACGGTGACTCTTGGGCCGTCAAGATGTTGGCTGGTATCACGCTGGCTGCTTTTACCGGAATTCTCGCCTTCTTCACCTGGAAGATCTGGACCATTGCGAACAAGTTCAAGAAGATGGAAGGCAATCCCGATGTTCTCTATGACGACAAGGAAGTCTGGCGCAAGTACAGCATCTTCTACGAAAACTACAAGAAGAGCTACTGGTGGATCTTCGTACCAGCCATTGTCTTCATCTTTGCTCGTGGATGTGTCATTGCAGGCGCAAACGGTCACGGTCTTGCTCAAGCCGCCGGTCAACTCATTGTCGAATCCCTGCTCCTCATCATGCTTCTCTGGGCTCGTCCGTACTCTCTCAAGTCTAGTAACTGGATCAACATCTCCATTTCCGTTATTCGCGTTCTGTCCGTCGTCTGTATCTTGGTTTTCGTCGAGGAGCTGGGCATGAGCCAGACGACAAAGACTGTCACTGGTCTTGTGCTTGTCGTTGTGCAGGCTACTCTGACTGGTGTTTTGGGCATACTCATCGCGGTCAACGCAATCATTATTTGCTGCAAGGAGAACCCTCACCGCAAGAAGAGAAAGGAAGCCGGTAAGTTCAGAAACTCACTCGTACATAAGCAACCCTAACAACCCTCTAGAGAAAGCTCGTGACCTTGACAACCTTACTCCTCTCGACGCACGCAACTCGCTTCTTATGGATCCTCAAGAATACAAGCGTAGCTCTCTTCCCTCGCCTTTTGGCCCCCGCACCGAGGGCTATGATCGTGTGCCTCTCGCCGATCAGCACACCGCCTATGCGGGTCCTGGTGGTCGCCAATTTGGAGACGATCAAGGCCACCTGCTTGCTGATGCCTCAACATTCGGCCGCGCACCTTCGCATGACCGAATGAGGAGTCACGACAGCAGCCCAGGACCCGACGCGGAGATGGGATACCATCAACCTCCAGGATACGTCCCCAACGCTCCCTGGCAACCTCAACCTCAACGAGGTCCGTACTAGGTTGATAGGTTTCCAGCGTCATTTCAAAGCGAAGACCTAGACGGAGTGTAGATACATGTACCGTCTGGGCACTGATTCCCCACTTTCCTTGAGTCTTTTGTCCTGTATTTGGCGGTGGTTGTTTGACAGATAGAGCGTGTCAAATATACCCCATTACCAGCTCCATTGCATCTGACGAGGCACGCCCTATACGGCTGTCTTGCTCAGCCTGATAACGAATCTTTCATTGAGTCGTTTTTATTTTTTATTTTTCCTTGCATATCTGTTTTCCTGTTTTTGGCCTGCAAGTAAGAGATCTGATACCAGTTCTTTTGTAATTCTCACGTCAAGCGCTAGGCCTGGGGCTTGCGCCAATCTCTTCTTTATTCTGTCGTTGTGAGGAGAAGGAAAAGTGAAGTCAAGGGGACGAGGGGATGGAACAAGTTGAGAGCCTGGGAGCTTGTGAATAAAGAAGAGGGGGGAGACATAGAGATATAGAGTGGGGGAGGGGGGAAGTAAGGGAGACTGGGAATGTCTAGTGTAGATGTCGAACACCATATAACTACCAAATATCAAATATCATAAGATTCAAAAATTTGAACATGCCATGGTGAGGCATTGAATGCTGTTGTCCTCCAGGTATTCACTTGATGTACTATCGGTTCTTCCTTTTCTATTTACTACGTTTCATAATAACTGGACTAGAGCAGAGTAATTGCTCTCTCTTTCCAACCAACCAACACTACTGATGCATCCACCAAAGCCAAACCACCCTACCGCGTTTTTTTCTTTTTTTTTTCCGGACGAAAACACTCGTATTTGGTCTGCTACTAAGTCTAGAATAGCCTACGTCATGCAACTACCTCATTCTACATATGTACCCAGGGTTTGTTCACCTTCAGCCGCCTTGGTAACACAGCCCACTTCCCCATACACTTGCAAGTCATCTATTCACCAAAAGCATGTAGAAATAGGAAATGACCCCACAGAATTCACCAACCGTCCTCATTTACTTCTGCCCTTGCAACACCCGCGCAGCCGAAACCCGCATGTCTCGCTCTAGACCCGACATTCGCTACGCTGCGGCTGAACCACGCGACCAGGGGGGGGGGGGTTGCCTGTTTGCGGCTCAGCTTTTCGTGGCTGGCTGGGCTGGGTCTAGCTTCGTGTGTTCCTGCGTCATGTACCAAGCGTCTCCAACATAGTACTACCGCCAAAACGCGTCGCAGACAAACACTTACTCACACACGCCTCTCTTCCTTTCTCGCACAGATGTAAAGTTTTATCTATGGATGTATTAGAAAGGGGATGGTAGCCTTGTAAGGTTTCCAGGTGATAAGCGACGGCACGTCGATTCCGCGCTTTATCTCTTGGGACCAAGTGGGAGAGTGGGGGGGGGAGGGAAGGCCGCATTCGATAGTCAAGGCCAAGAAAGGAAATCAGCCAGGCCAGACCAGCCTTACTCTTCTGGCGGGTTCAACGACATAGGCCAAGCTAAGTAAGAGAGTCTTGTCCCTCTTTCCACACACCCGTCTGATTTTTAAGTTTCGGGGGGGAAGGATTGGCATGGGCTTTTCTAGGTTGTTTGGCGGTCTCAGGATGGGATTGCGATTGCGATAACGAAGGGCTAGTTAGTAGTAGCAGTACCGGCGTACCCGAGATGCTTGGGTTTTTTGTTTTTTGATTCCCATTCTTCGATTTGCAGCATCTTGTTGTCTCTGTTGCCCATTTTGCGTCTTTTCCTTTTTTTTTCGGGGGGGGGGGAGAGAGACGGGACTTGTTCGCGTTCGTACATGGTTCTAGACGTGTGTAAAACCCGCTGTTTTGGATATTGACAAAGTTGCATGCCAAGGGCGACAAAATGGGCTTGCGTTTTTTTTGGTGGCTTGCGGGCGTGGGCCTGCCGTATCGGCATATTTCTTGGACCCTTTTCCCACCTCCTTTTAAGGTTAGGACGGCTGCGCGTGGCGGGCTTGAGTGGTCCCTTTTAGGGTTGGGTTAATGTTGTGTAAAGGGAAAAAGATTGGGCGGGTGCGGATGAAAAGAAGTCGCTTTCTTCGTCCGATATCCTTTCTTTCTCTTTCTCTTTCTCTTTCTTGCGACTTTGAGAGAGTCGTTTTTACGTTTCTCTCTCTTTCGCTCCCCCCAATCTCTCGTTTTTTTTTGCTTGGGTCATTCGTTATTGTGACGTTTGCTTTGCCTATTCCCCATCTTTGGATCCTGTCTATCCGTGTTGCATCTGTCGTTTACAATCGCACGCTTGGTGATTCGAGGAGTCGCTCGTTGCAATTGCTGGTACGACTACGTTTACTCGAAACTACCCAGGACTCGCGGCCCGTTGCTGGTACAAAAGGATCGCCCTAAAAAAGACGAAGAAGAAGAAAACCCCCATCCTGTAGAATTCGCATAATCCCCTCTCGCAAATAGCCATGCGACACACCGCGCTCCTCTCCGCCACAACGGCGCTGCTCGCCAGCACCAGCACCGCCCAATCCGTCGCCTCATCCTCTTCCAAACGCGGTCTCTGCCATGTCCCCTCCAACAAACACCCAGAAGACGACAAAATCTGGCTCCAAGGCCCTTCGCCGCCAACATGGTACTACAACTACAAACCCGAGCCTACAGCCGAGTACGCCAAAAACACCGCCATGCAATTCGTTCCTATGCTTTGGGGCGCTAGTTCCGACGACAAAGGCACCCCCTTCCTTGACTCGGTCAAACAGCAAATCGCAAATGGCGCAAACATCACCTACGTCCTCGGCTTCAACGAGCCCGACGGCGGCTACGATACCGGCGGTTCTAGTCTCGCTGCCAGCCTCGCCGCCGCCCGCTGGAAAGCCGAAATGGAACCCTTGAAAGAACTCGGCGTCAAACTAGGCGCTCCTGGCGTGACGGGCGCGGAAACGGGGTGGCAGTGGCTCGAGAATTTCTACAACGAGTGCAATGGAGGCTGCAATCCGGACTTTGTGCCTGTGCATTGGTATGGTAACTTTGAGGGCATGATGAGCCATATTGGGCGTGTGACGAGTAAATGGCCCAACATGACCGTGTGGGTGACCGAGTATGGGTATCCGAATCAGCCGTTGGAGGAGGCGCAGTCGTTTTATAATATGAGTGCGACGAGTTTTGATTCTTGGCCGTAAGTTTCTCATGTCCTTTTTTTTGATATCGGGATTGTTATTTTTTTTCCTTTGGCGATACGGGCGAGCTAACGTTGGGAATTTTTGTAGGAACATTACGCATTATTCGTACTTTGGGGCTTTTCGATCCGATGTATCGAACGTGGGGGCTAATGCGGCCATGTTGACGCAGGATGGAAAGTTGACGGATATTGGGTCTTGGTACTTGGGTGGCCCGGCTACGAAGAATATTCCCAAGAAGTCTGCTGCTGCGGCTGCAGCTGGTGTGCCCGCTCAGGCGTATGCCTTTGCTGCTACAGTGGCCATGTGGCTGTTCTGGGCTTAGACGTTTCTGTCGCTATTCTAGAAGGGGCATCGATGTCGGTTTTGTGATGGAGTAGTCGCGGCTGGCTGGTATACACGATGTATTCTGCTCGACCATGTGCTTCCAAAAGCTTCGCACAAGCCAAGAAAGTCGGTGCAGTTACGAGGATTCCAGCATTTCAATGGCGTTTGGACGCTGGGTTATAAACGAATAGATTTGTGTTGTAAGGGTAAGGGCTATGCTCACGGTACAACACTGGGAATAAAATTCAAACATTGATGGAACATCTCTCATCTCGGACATATCTACATATACAATGCCGTATGAATTTCCCTTAACGAAAGAGACGCAGGATCCCGATTCCAACGAGAAGGAATCAACCCGCAAACCATACCTAGCCATTATATTACTCACCTTCTTAATTAAACTACCTTCGTCCTATCCACTTCACTCTGCATCTCCCCAACCAACTCTCTTTCTACGCTCTGATTTTCTTGGTTATTGACTGCCGACTGTCGACATTTTGATCCAATTTGATCCAAACGCAAGACTGAGGCTCAGAGCAAAGACACTAAGCCATCTCTCAAGCGTCATCTCATCATCATCACCATCCTGATCGAAAGAAGCAGCAGTAACCACCATGCATCAAAGCCACCAGATCGCACAACTTCAACGAACCCATTACTCAAAAAGCTTCAAGATATAAACGTCGATTGCCCAGGAACTATCTAAATAGCAATATATACACTCGTATCCTGACCCAATCCTCCTCTTAGAGATAGTACTCAAAACAAACCCAATATCCCATCAGTCGTAAGAAATTCGTAAAGCGTTCATCGTAAACAAAACCATGTCACGCTGTATATACCTGAGACCACCACCGACTCAGTCCCAACCCTTCACCTTACCAAAGCCATATACATATATACGTTTCCACCTCCCTCTCTGACCATATACCCACCTATCTCTCGTTCTAAGCACCCATCAATGCAGCCGAGTAAGCCAGATACCACGTGCGACTCGCGCCACCATCCAGCGTCTCCGCGAAGCTGGGGTTGGAGAAGAACTGCCAGGAAGACTGGGGATCAATGAGAGCTTGGTTGGACTTGAGGATGCTCTTCCAGCCGCCCTGGACCTGCTCTGCGCGCCCATTGCTAAAATACGTGTCCCACTCCTGCTGCACGAATTTGGCGCCGCGGGTGTATGCCGAAGAAGGGTTCAGCGGGATCATATGGATGCCCTCGATGTACTCTGTGTTGGCACCAAAGTACGTCGTATGATCGATTTTATTCTCAAACAAGATACCGGTGACCTTGTTCTTTGTGAAGGTGGGGGGTTGGTTCTTGTTGTCGGACTCCATGAGGAAGTAGTTGCGGAGGCTGCGGGCTTGGATGGCGAGTTGCAGGTTTGCGCGAGCTTCCATGTTGGAGTCTCCGATGGTCTTGCCCCACATTTTGACGGCGTAGCTGGCGAAGGTGTCTTCGGAGGTGGACTCTTGGTCTTTGCCGTCGCCGGACTCGAAGAGGCCTTTTGCCCACGAGTGGCCGTGGAACCAATCAAAAGAGCGGTACATGGGGAAGTATTGGTCGTCGACGGGGTTGGCGAAGTCGCGGACGAGGGCGTTGATCCAAGCTTTGTTGTTGCCTTGGGTGAGCCACGAGGGGTCGAGGTGGCCGATGACGGCGGCGGTGTAGACGAAGTAGCCGTAGTGGAAGTGGTGGTCGTTGTAGAGGGTGTTGCCGAAGTCGAGACCGACATCATTGGGAGGCTTGTAGCTGGCGCCGGAGACGAGACCCTTCCACACGTTGTCGTAGACGAGTGGCTCAGGCTGGGTGTTCTTGATGAAGACATCCAAGGCTTGCTTGAGCCTGACAAGTCCAGCTGCTGCGTATTGGGTGTTGCCGGTCATGGAGTTCATGGTCCAGATGATAGAAGCGAACTTTGCGCATCCTTTGCCCGAGTAGTACATGCTGTTCAATGAAGTCTGGGGGATCATGTCCTGGCTGAGTTCAGCAACGCCGACTTGGTTGATGAGTGTAGTAGCCTGTGAGCTAAGGGCAGTCCTCTGGGAGCCTCCAGCGCCGTTGGCGTTCTTCGACCAGGGAGCAAATCCAATTGTGTTGGGAAGATCGTTCTCAACCATGGTCATCTTGTCAGCAAGAATGGCCTGAGCAAAGCCCTTGGTGGTGGTGACAAGTGTGATGTTCTTGAGAGCCGATTGAGTCTGTTGATCAAATGATTCCACGTGATGTGGCAGCGCATACATGAGCAAAGTTTGGCTAGTCACACCGCTCTTGGTCCAGCTAATGGAGTAGCTTCCAGACGCATCATTGACTGATCCGGAAAGGGTAGCGTCAGTGGCGTAAGCACCAGCGCTCTTGTCAAAAACGCTCTCCATGTCTTGGCCTGAAGGGTTTTTGGCGACCTGGATGGTTCCGATGAAGTTTGCTGGACCACTGATCTTGGCAGTGCTGTCCAGCGTGAAGGGAATGACACCAACAGCGCTGGCTGATGTAGCATAAAGCAGCCAACAAGTGCCGTCGTTGAGGACGATCCTGTACTTGTAGGTTCCTCCATTGACCGATCCAACATATGACAGAGAACGGAAGAACACATTGCTGTTGAGGACTGGTCTGGCACCGGCATAGATGGCGGTTGCCATACCCATACCCTGAACCACGGGTACTGACATCAGGATTTTAGATCCGGAGCTAGCTCGCAAATTGGCATTTGCAGAGAAACTGCCGAGGTTCTGAACAGAAAGCTTGGTATCCTGCCCAAGCTCGGCTGCAGAAAGAACAATGTGTTGGATACCAAGGGGTGAGATAAAGTATCGTGGGTTGTCAATGGAGGGTCCAAAAGCAAATTGGTCCCTAACCGTGTGACTGACAGCAATGCCTTAAAGAGTCGAAATTAGCAATGTCTCAAGCCAAGAGGTGACCATTTCACGTACCGTAAGAGCCGCCAAACCCTTTGGCCCAGCATAGGGAGTAGGGGTGTGTCCACACTGGGAACGACTGGGTACCGAGAAAGAAGTTTGCGTGAAACTTGTTCGTCTGAGTTGGTACATCACCATCCTCAATGAACTGTTTGCGAACAGGATGGTCATTGCGAGAAGGTATGTATGAAGGAGGTGCTGCGTTGTCAATTGCCTGGAAAATATCGCCTGAAGAAATCCTGTTCACTGATGTAGGACCAGGCTTTAGTGAGGTTGAGCTTGGAGACAATGGCTTGGTGGCGGTTGAGGCGCCTGGACCACGAATAGGGTCTCTTGTAAAGCCGCCTGAAGGAAGCCCTGTGATAAAGCTCTGTGACATGTTAGTGAAAAAGTCTTGGTAAGACATTCTGGATGGAGTAATACCCCGGTGGCTGATGAATCGACAGTAGCAGTGGGTGATTGTACTGTTTGGATGGCTGAACTGTAGCTTGTAGTCACAGGAACATCGGACAATTCGATCTGACGAGCGTGAAGGACATCTTGTGTTCTCTTCGCATCCCGGAGGGGAATACTGTGACCCGAAGAGACCAGGTAGGCCGAAGCCAATAAGAAAGAAGTCAACTTCGCCATAGTGGCTGGTGAAGACGTAGGTGAAGACGGGAGAAGAACCAAACGAGACAGGCTTGAAGAATCAGAAGCAGATGATTGATCCTGTAAACCACCCGGGTTCTGCTTTGATTGATGGAGTTCATATTGAAGAGCAAAGGGACATTATATAACATTGGGAGCTCTGGTAATACCGCCTCGACTCTACCCCCTTGTCGCGTGCTCGCCCGGTGAGAATTCCTACTTCAGGAAGGTCACGATCCGCAACTGAGACATGGAGCTCAGGTGTAAAAGAATTTTAGACTAACAAACAACTAGTTTACCCCATATAATCTTGATTTCAGCCGTGCGTACGTCTTCGCTGTCGGTACATAAGGCCTTTGACTGCTCTAGCATTTAGTGTACCAGTATTCTCACATCCTTCAATTTTGAGTGCGTAAGCGCGCAGTTTCTTCACGGTCCGAAGGGATGCCCTTCACTGACTGTCTTTGTTACTCACTGTCCCTATAAAGCGGTGTGTTTCAATCTTGAGATTATGGGCGTTTGAGTTGTGTCTATGGTCTTTCAGCATTTCATGCGATGTAAAGTTAACTCAGTGAACAGATTCGGAGGGCTCACAGTCACTAGACGCATCTTTCACTGCACACAGTTCCTTGCAGATCGGTGGCAGATTCTTATGACCACACGACATGCTGCGAGACAGACTCACCGCTCTAGTCGCAAACATGAAAAAGCGGTTTTGCAAACCAACTAACGTACAGGTAAGATCGTCTCGGATGGCTGGAGGCGGGCGCAACGTGCGGAAGTTACGCTAAGCAAAGCAGAATTCAGGGTCCTAACGGGAACGTCGTCGGTATGTGCCATATGACCACCGTCTTTGGCTTGGCCACTGTGGAGTTGGGCAGCATTCCCCGCCCCCGTATGTTCTGAAAACAAAGGTGTACCGAGGGGGGTTCTCATACATTCTCGAGGTAGAATGAACTCCCGTTGAATTACAAAAGCGCCACTAGTTCCATCTTTTTTCATACTGGGAGATAGATAACCGAAGGCGGCGGCCCGAACACGATGCCTGATCGTGAAATCAAGAGATCAACAACAAGCATGAGTAGTAGGATGCTTGGCTAGTCGATACTCATGATGTTACTCTGCCGTCAAAATCGAAAAGCCATGACTTGATGGTGCAGCCACCAAGGTCTAAGAGCCCGGAAGCGTTGGAGTGCGCCATACTAGACTGTCAAAACGACCGCTAGGCTTGCCGTTTAGTATCTCGTGATATGGACGGCGCACGCGCTTTTTGGGTTGGTGGAGACTCTGCGGGGAAAACTGAAGTGTGACGAGCGCACATGGCGGAGAGGTGGAGAGTTGGTGGAGAGTCAGTGCTGAGATGGACTTCTCACTCCAGCGTTTGACATGCTCTCGTCGGCGTCGTGCATGGAGTGTGGATTCCATGAGAAATTAGTGGGTATTACGCGCATGGATGTTCCTTCTAGAAAGAATCGTGTCGGGTGACAGGAGCGGTGAGGTCACATGTCGCGAGGAAAGTGGCGAAGATCACATGGAGTGTAGCTTCGGAATTTGGCACTGGTACGGTTTTAACTCCGACAGTTCATAGCCACAGATGACATCATTCTAGCTCTCGCCACTTCTGTGTGGCACAAACGATGTGATCACTATTACATACCTACGTACCTGTATCTGAATCAAGTTCCAAGTTCGAGTCTACCTAAGTGATTGATATATTCAATTCATTGTTATAGATACATCTACACCTAACACATCCCAACACTCTCTCCAAACATCATGACAACCTCGCAACATCCAAACGAGCCCCCTCCCAGCTACGAAGCCGCCATCTTCGATGCAGACCCTTCGCCTGGCATTCGCCGCGTTTCTACAGACGGGCCCGCGGCGCGTACCGAGCGCAATGGCATTCCCCCCGACCGACGGCGTTCTATGGAGGACTTGATGCGCGAGCTGCCTCCTGGCTGGATCCGCTCATTTGACGAACAGACTCAGCATCAATTCTTTGTAGACACACGAGCAAACCCTCCACGGAGTATATGGACGCACCCGTACGACGATGAACAGTATCTCAGCACACTCAGTCCAGAAGAGCGCAAAAAGTACACTCGCATGCATAAGACAATGACAATGGAGGACCTTGCTGCTGAAGACTCGGATACGGAGGATCACCTCCCACCACGACCGACATCCAAGGGTAAAGGTGCCGCTGCGCCTGGCGAACCAACGGGCATTCACAAGTTCTCCAGAAGGCTCAAGGACAAAATTACAGGTCAGACGCATGAAGAGCGCGAAAAAGCACGTCAACGTCGTGCAGAGGAGGAGCGTCAAGCATATATTCAGCATATGCGCACACGACAAGCAATCATTCGTGCCATGGAGACAGGGGAGCCGCAACTGATAGGAAAAGACCGACAGGGCAGGGATGTGTACATTGAACCACCTCATGGGCGCTATGCACCAAGTGGAGCATACGGATACAACCCATATGGCCCACGTCAGTACTACAGCCCCGGTGTGCGATATATGCGTCCGGTTACACCTTACGGTAGGCCGTACGGTTACGGCTACGGAGGTGGTGCTGGACTCCCTCTTGCGGCTGGACTTTTGGGCGGTACTTTGCTGGGCACTGCGTTGTTTTAGGCTCTGGCGAGAAGCCTACAGCCGAGGCGTGGGCGAGGGAGCATCAGTCGGTAGTTGATTCGACAAAAGCAAAGCTGATGATGAAACCTTTTTTTCCTTTTATCAACCCTGTATCCTAAGATTCCCCTGTAGTAACACCCTACCAAAACAAGATTACTATCATGCATCTCTTGGGCCTTTACGTGTACTTGCTTGATCATGCCCGCTGACGGCATTCTTCAAAAGCAACTCTGTTTTGAGGCTGAATGTTGCATGTGAGCCAGGATCCCATATTCATCAGCCCCAGCGATGTTAGTGTGGGGTTTGAAGTGTGGGGTGAACGCGCTTCGGCCTGATTGGATTACAGAGAGATTGAGAGATTGTTGTCGCCGCCCCAGCTACAAGGTTCAGATTAGATATTGGGCGTCAAGAAACCTTGAGCAGTGTGACGGTCTTGACTCTTGAATTTTTCCCCTTGCCCAGGATTGGCGGCAAGTAAGTAGGCGTACGCGGAGTGTAGTGGGGAGGCCGGGGTACCACCAGCAATCGGAGTGTTGTGATACTGGTGGCCAGACCTTATTTCGTATACGAAACGCCGAATCCATATGCGGAACATCGTGGAGATTTTTGCTGCTGTCAGATCTCCACGTAGTTGGTCAGCGGCCAAAAGCTGACACGTTACGTTCAATAATGTTGGGCGAGAGATAGCCAGGTTGCTGGGGCGCTTTGGTTTCATACAACGAGCGTGGAGTGTTGTAGACCCCCCATGCCCGTAGAAGAGTAAGACGATAGGAATGTAGAAGACGGACTGCTAGTATCGCCATACTGCAAATCGAAATTGGAGACTGTGAATGTGGAGTTTCACAAGCAATATTGCTGGAAAGGGCACATGCCATTTGAAGGGCAAACTAACAGCTAGTAGGTTGAAAGCGGTTCAGACACAAAACTATCTGTGTAAGACCTGTCATTGGCCCAAGGTTAGCAAAGTCAGCTAAGATTGGTAGTAAGAGAAATGATAGGGTAGCCCGATGCGCCAATGATGCGATCCAAGGTTACTCTAAACCCACAGTCAGGGCTCCGAAGCCGGAAGTACAGCCATTGGGCCGGCGGGTTCTGGAATCTTTCGAAAACGTGGTGAAATTGCACAAGGCGCGATACGTAGAGATAACCATCATCCCACATTTCAATGACGCCGATATAGGACACAACAATCAATGCAACGGGGATAGTCACGTAAGAGCCGGTAGTCCCGCAGTACCGAGCCCCAAGTTGAGCTTCCCCACGCTTTATGAACCTGAGGCGTCACCGCCGTGGCGGGCTCGTGGAGAGGTCGACACAGCCCCACTCTCTCGCTTCTAGCGAGACTCACATGCTTTCACGACAGTTTACCGACAAGAGCTGCCGAATGGGTACGGCAGGTGGAAGAAAGACTGGTCCGCAGTCGGACCCTGCTGTAGGCATAGGTATACATACATACCATACTATGTACGTACAATATGTAAGTGTGTATGGCCCGTTGGCCAGGGTTGGTGTGCAAAAAAATACTTACTACGAGGGCTTTCAGCTGCTTGTGGCATTCTTCTAGTGTTGCTGACTGTTCAAGATTGTGACAGGGAATCATGGGATATGTAATTGCTTGTGCAAAGGCGCGCCACTGCCGGCCAGGACATATGACAGGCGTTCCTGGGCAGATCGATGTAAGCCACGCAATAGGGTTTCTTCCTGAGGCGGCAAGAGAACCGGCTCACTGGAACCAAGAATGGCGACCGCCTGGATGACCGAATGGCGGGATTTTGGACACTACGTATGTACTGTACATGCAGCACATGCAGTAGGAGACGAAAAACTGTCCGTCTGGTACGACGGTGAGCACGGTCATGTCTGGTACCAGCGACACAGGGCCGTCTCTGTGCTCAACGGCAAGCGATTTGCTGACATGTCGGTCGTCGGGCAGGGCGTGCGTGCACGGCGTAGCGCCAAAGATGGCCGCCGAGTATTCACAGGCTGGGTTTCATGAAGGTTTGTCGGGCGCCGGCGACTTGGGCAACTTCTGGCAGGAAACCGTGTGGCGCGAGCGAGGCAATTGCGAAGCTGTGGTATTACGGGCAGCGTCTCAAACGAGGCATCCTCGGGCTTATCGCATCGATGGACGAGTGTGAGTGGGCATCGCCAGGCGTGGTCAGGGACGGGAGGGCGTCTGTGGGCGTCGACACGATGGCGTCGCAGGGGACGGCCGGGTTCAGGCAGGAGGCCGAATCGAGCTAGCGGCCTATCGCTCCGATGTGGACCGTGATTGGCCGCCGTTGGATGCTTATCTCTGGCATGAAATGCAATTGACACAACACAACATGGAGCCTCCCACTCGCCAAGCACTCCCGCCCCCAGACATGGCGGACAATGCCTCCCGTGGCTGTGAGAAATCGTTTTGAGTCGCCGACAAAGAGCCACGGTGCGAGGCTGTCCTTCACAGCAATCCGCAATGCTGCCGCTAGGTGGGTGTTGGTCCCATTATCTAACCCGCCCCGTCACGCTTCCGCTCGCGGCGAGATAAGGCCAAACGCCTACCATGACGCAGCTCGACATCGACCGGCAAAAAAGCGATCAAGCTCTGGATCTGGCGCGAACCCCACGGCGGTCGCGCGCCTGTGGGTTGATGTACCCTCGTCTATTTTGCCTCGAGAGCTGGTCCGTGGACCAGGATAGATAAGAGTAGCAGTCAGCCCTTCATCCATAAAGGCCCCGGCGCAACCATTGTAATCTACAGTAGGGTTTCCGGTTTCTCCCTGGTGCTCCCGTATATTACTGGTACCGATCCAGCCTTTATATCCTCTGTTCATTTCCTCTCCATACGCCCTGTTTGTGAGACTGCTCTTCCCTCCGCCTACCTCTCCAAGTCCCCCCCTGATATCCTTACCACTTGGCCGGTTCCCCAGCAAACTCCGTAGCCATGTCGCACTCATGGATCGGCGCTCCCGCCGAATTCAATGGGACCAATGCCGTTACTGGTGGTGATTCTGGTCAGTTCAAGTCTCCATGTACCACCATTAAGCACGTGCCGCGCCCGACACCCGTGTTGCGCGCAGCACATTGTGCAATCAAAGTCAAAACATACCAGCAAGCATACTAACATGTATATTTGTAGTCACCGAGAATCTCAACCAATGGTACCAGGCGGGTGACCAGGCCTACATCCTCGTGGCTTCGGCCATGGTGTTGATCATGGTTCCTGGTCTAGCTTTCCTCTACTCCGGTCTTGCTCGCAGAAAGTCCGCCCTCTCCCTCATCTGGGCGTGCATGTTCTCCGCCTCCGTCATCACCTTCCAATGGTACTTTTGGGGATACTCGCTCGCGTTCGGCCCTTCCACAAATGGCTTCATCGGCAACCTCGACAAGTTTGGTCTCAAGGGCGTCCTCGGTGCGCCTAGCCAGGGTAGTCCTCTGATTCCTGAGTTGCTGTACTCTTTCTACCAGGTACGGCAGATTTCATCATAACCCACAAGAGACATGCTAACCAGGCTCATAGCTACAATTCTGCGCTGTTACTGCTGCTATTGTTGTCGGTTGCGTTGCTGAGCGCGGTCGCTTGATCCCCATGATGGTCTTCATCTGGCTTTGGGCCACAATCGTATACTGCCCCGTCGCTTACTGGGCCTGGAACGCAAACGGCTGGTTCTTCAAATGGGGTGGCCTGGATTATGCTGGTGGCGGCCCTGTCGAAATTGTGTCTGGATGCACCGCCTTGGCCTACTCCATGATTCTCGGACGCCGCCAGGAAAAGATGATGCTCAACTTCCGCCCCCACAACGTCTCTTTGATCACTCTCGGAACCGTATTCCTATGGTTTGGCTGGTTGGGCTTCAACGGCGGCTCTGCTTTCGGTGCCAATCTCCGCGCTGTCATGGCCTGCTGGAACAGCAACCTTACCGCCATGTTTGCCGCTATGACCTGGGTTATTCTTGATTGGCGTCTTGCTCGCAAGTGGTCCATGGTTGGCTGGTGCTCAGGTACCATTTCTGGACTCGTTGCTGCTACTCCCGCCTCTGGTTTCATCCCTCCATGGGCCAGCGTTGTCCTCGGTATCACCACTGGCATTGTTGCTAACTTTGCCACCAAGAGTAAGTCGAACACTAAGCATCAATCCTACGTCATTTCCTAACATCCTTGTAGTCAAGTTCTGGATCAAGATCGACGATTCTCTCGATGTGTTCGCTGAGCACGGTGTCGCCGGCATGTGGGGACTGTTCTTCAACGGCATTTTTGGTGCCAACTACATCATTGGTCTTGACGGCGTCAACAACGGACTGACCGCCGGTGCCATTACTGGCGACGCGCCCGCTGTCTATAAGCAGATTGCTTATATTGTCGCTTGCACTGCTTACTCCTTTGTCGTCAGCGCTATCCTCGCTTTTGTCATCGACAAGATTCCTGGTCTGAAGCTTCGCGCATCCGAAGAGGCCGAGCTTCTTGGTATGGATGACGACCAACTTGGCGAGTTCGCCTACGACTACGTCGAGGTCCGCCGTGACTATCTTGCGTGGACCCCTGCCAAGGGTGCTCCCCTCGATGGTGAGCACTCGGTGCCTCAAGGAGAACGCCACGGTATTCCCCAGCACAGCCAGATGCTCGAGGGCAAGGCGCCCTCGGAGAACTCCAGCCATGACCACGACCACACTGGCATTGGCGGGGACAGGCATGCGGTTGCCATGGGTCCTGAGCACAACAATGAAAAGCAGGTCAAGACCTAAGCTTTTGTATTTGTATTGATCTGGATTTTGCTGCTTCCGACTTTATAAAGTCAAATTGTTTCGAGATACCACCTGCGCTCTGGTCTTTGCGCTGAGCTTTTTGTTCTAATTTTTTCTAGATGTCTGAACCAATCTTTTCTTTTACAAATGTAGTGTACATAATTCAAGAACGAGCTCATCATTAAATTTCCAAATCGGCCCTTTGCCCCTGTCTTTGTCAGACTCCCGATGCACGCTGCTCTAAGTAATGTCCCTGTTGGATTGCACGTACGAGGAGGCTGTGCTCACGCGCCCATGCCCAGCGCAACCTTATCAGTCCATGAACAACAGGCCTACCGATTCGTCCGGTCAACGATATATCTTCCGCTGCCAAGCGTACTCGCAGTGTCGATGCTTATCATCTCCCACTCCTCCACATGGGTGATCGCCCATGCCTAGGCCCTATCATATCGCTGTACCCCAGACTCCGCCGTGGAGATGATGTCAATCTACCGCGATAGGCTTGCAGCTAAGCACAATAGCTGAACTAGGCATCAAATCCTCTCAAGAACAATAGCTGTTAGTCCACATGCACAGATACACATACTTACAGTAGTATACACACCATACCAATAGCGATATCACAATCTCCTTGTCGTGCCAAGAAAGTATCATTGCATGCTGCATGCGCTTCACATGCCGTCGGGGTTGTGCTTACTGTTCCTATACGCGCGTCTTTGCTCCCATGCATCTTTTCTTTCAACATCCATCCGTAAAGCCAGTTACAGCGCTCCATAACGTTTACTACTAGGTAGTTCTAATCGATAACAAAAGCGGAATCGCGGGTTTTCACAAAAAAAGTACATGCTCCATGCATCTCAGAACCGCTCCTTTTTAGAGCCTCGTTTCCAAGGAGTGGGCATGGGCTGGCAAGCGTCAGTAATATAGGAGCACATGCAGGGTGGGATGCCGAGTGAGAGGGAATTTCATTGATTCCACAAGCGGGAATGGCTTTCGTGTTCTCCAAGACAATATCGGGGCTATGAAACATGTTCTCGGTGAGAAATGTCTTGGGTGTGTTCCACGCGTTCGGGAATGCATGTGGGGCGAACCTAGTACGAGTCGTTATCGTTGTTACTATTGCAAAGGGCACGTGACAATGGGAGTGCATCCTGTGCGTTGCAGCCTGCCATGACCCCTCCCACATCACTCCATCTTCAGCCAAGTAATCACGTCACTGAGCCGAGATTTGGTGAAACTCTAGACGTGCTTTGCATCAAGTTGGACGAAAATACACACCCATGCAACAAATATAAGCGAGTTTGCGTGCCAACCCAGATGTAAGGTTTATTCAGTGCTCCTAACCGGCTAACTAGGGAATCACGCCGGCTTGCAACACAAAACAGCTTGGCCGATAGCGCGATTCCAATCCGGAATAGAAATATTTTACCTCGCTGATACGTACAAGTACTCAGTGGCAGAAATAAACTCAGGCCACTAGGGTAGGTTTTGTGGGCTTGCGCGCCTTCTAAACAAAGCGCATATGTGTTCGAAGATGATGCAGCTGACGCTCGAATGGCTTTCCTTGACAAAGAACCGCTGTTGCACCACCGGGACATGGTGTTACTTGATGACAACAAAGATCTGTTATCGAGCCCGTCTTTATCCACTATCCACTTGTCGCCTCTCCATTCTTTGCATGAGAACAATCGTCTTGAAACCCGTGACAGGATGTGATCGGCGTGTTGGTTTTACAAGAGACACGCTCTCCTTAACAGCAAGAAACAAACATCTCTGTCAGTCCCCATCTTTTGCAAACCCTTCCTGACAAGCACCCCACGATTGCGATTACCCTCACTTTTGAAGTTTTTCTTGTGTTCGCAGTGTAACAAGACACACTTCCAGGGATAAGCAGTTATTTTGTCAAAGGCCCGACCCACCCTATCAGATCCCAAGATGCGAAGTTCTCTAAGAATATCCCCAGCGCCTTTTAAATCTTCTTTCTTGTCGATTCCACCATCGCCCTTCTCACCACGTCCACCTTTCACACCCACAGCGCCATTCCAACAATCAGTTCAGAAAGGGAGCCAGCAAGGTTCAAAAACGGGCACAAAGTCTACGGAAGATTTACCACCAACTCCCTTACCTTGGACGTGGACATGTCACCACTGTCATTGTAGCTACCGCTTGAACGTCACAAGGCGTTGCCTACAAGACGGACATTATTATTGTAGCGGTACAACCACTGTAAAGGCATGGCGACAATCAAACTATGTACGACGTACAAAGAAACATGGTGCCTGCAACAGCGAATTTGACTATTCTGGCTGGAAGAACTGGAGCAGATGGCGAAGAGACGGTCCCAGGAACAAAGCTGCTCTGGACACTGGCTCGTCCGCTGGCACAAAAGATGGAGATATTCCGACAAAGAAAAAAGACTGTTGGAATACGTGTGACTACCCATCCGAGTGCAAATGGGGAAACAAATTCGGCATACATACGCCTGTAGAAAGCGGCTTCCCGGTTGTTGAAGCTGATGCCAAAACAACACTTAATTCTCATGCCAATACGACCTCAAAAGGCACCCTCACGACTGGAAACTACGAGGATGCCAAGACGTTGAGGAAGAACGAAACTATGAATCTTTGGACTGCTCTGGTGGCAAGCGTAGAGAGGAGAAAGAACGGTAGTGGGCGTACTGCTTCACCACTCTCTGTTGTCACACAAGGAGAGATAGCAAGGAAAAGAGCTGGCAAGACCGCTTCGTCACCCCAAGAAGGCAGAGGCAATGTGATTATGACTGCCACGAATTTATCGGTTGTGGGTACCGCAAGTGACTCAGCTCTATCTGATAGCTCTGATTCCTCAACCGCCGGAGGCTCTCTCAAGCCCTTGCTGAGTAGGAGGAGGTATCGTCGCACGACCTCTTCTCCCAAGACATGCGCTAACAGCGATGCTAAGCGTGTGAAAGTGACCTATACATCAACATCCGACACACATGGTATTTTGGGCGATTTGGGGGTGTTAGATAGCGATTTTGCGCCGTTGACGAGAGTGCAGAGTAGATATTGTGGGTATCAGACCTGCTACGTATAGGGCGCTCATACTCTGTTTGACTATACTGTTATAATCCCCTAGATAGTTTTAAAAAGTTCAATATTAATGTAATATAGTATCAAGCCCCAGTCTGCAAAAAGCGGGAGCCAAAATCAACTCCACAGCGTGATATCTGCGGCTAAAAGTGGACTTGTGTCCGCATGCCTGCCGAAGAGGTGATGCAGGGATCCGTTAGCGCATGGACCATGTACATTTACGGAGTCTTGATCCCTCTGAGCCGCGGTCCCTGTCACACCTCTTCCAGCGCGCCGAGCCTATTATTCGAGGCACATTGCGAATATGGTGCTCTCGTTCATCCTCATACAGAACCGGCAGTATGTTTGCGTCGTGGCTACCCGATGTCCGTTTTGGTGCTAACAGGCGGAACTGCATAGGGGAAAGACACGGCTAGCCAAGTGGTATGCGCCGTATAGTGTAAGTTGCATTACAAAGCAAGAAGGGAAGAGAGGGCATTTGCTAACAAACTCATAGGATGATGAGAAGGTTAAGCTGAAAGGCGAGGTATGCAACAATTCCACAACCGTCCATGTAGTTTTGCACTTCCCCTTCGACCGCTTCTTGATAAGACGCACATCTTGCCCGATCACTCGAATACCGATCGTACATACAACAGACTTTTGAAGTCATTAACAACTATGGCAGGTTCATCGCCTCATTGCACCGCGAGACCAAAAACACCAGTCCAACTTTGTCGAGTTCCGCAACATGTCCAAGATCGTGTACCGTCGATATGCCGGTCTCTTCTTCTGCGCGTGTGTTGATACAAACGATAACGAGTTGGCGTACTTGGAGGCTATACATTTCTTCGTCGAGGTGCTAGATGCATTCTTTGGAAATGTGTGTGAGCTGGACTTAGTGTTCAACTTTTACAAGGTACGTGGGTACAATAAGCTACGGAGGGATAATGTTGGGAAGCATCGCCCAAGGGCAATAAGGCAATATCATTGGGTGGGCGAAAGTCAAACGACTGACAATGGTTATAGGTCTATGCGATCCTCGACGAGGTTTTCCTTGCGGGCGAGATTGAAGAGACGAGTAAACAGGTCGTGTTGACACGGCTGGCGCATCTCGATAAGCTGGAATAAAGGGCAATATATGAGGAATTCGGCATGTCTTTTTCTTTGCTTGAACCGGAATTGTGACGGTTATCAGAGCTGGGGTAGTAGAAAGACAGACAAGATCACGAAGAAGAGTGGTAGCATCTGTGGATGCCGAGGATCCATAGCCATGGTGTAAGAAGACAATACGCCTGGTCTGGCTCCCGCGGATAATGAAGCGTGACGCAATCGCATGGGACGGTGCTTTTTGGCAAACCTACATGCGTGGTAGCTTGAGGGTTCCCGCATACCCGTAGAATACTACAACGTTATTCGATTGGAGCACTAGGTATCACTTTTCCTCCGGTAATTAATTAAAATCGTCTGCATGGGTAACACGCGACTGTCAGGTTGTACCTTGGTCTTGCATGTGAGGAAGCGCGCACGGACGTAATTGTATGGAAAGCATAGGGCCAGAAAATAGACAGATCATCAATCTTGATTCCTGATATCTGTCCCTTCGTCCGCACCGAATTCCTAGAGAATGCTCGCCCCGTGATATATTGCCAATAGTGCTCCGTGTCCTGTTGCCCCCCCGGTCACACGCTTAATCCGCCTCGAACCATCTCGTTTGTCGACTCGAGCGTAGCATCCCCGCGCTATCGCGACCATGTCCGGATACCCTATGCATCAGGCTCCTGGTGCGAGCTATCCCAACCCGAACGGTGCGGACATGCAAGATGAACAGAACAAATGGCGACCGCCAGTTGCGGCGGGCCCTCCTGGCTACTCTCAGGCCGGAAGCCCAGCGATTCCTCAAGCATCGAGTCCATACGCAGGCGCGCCCGCGCACTACGGCACGCCGGTGCAGCAAGAGTCATATTTCCCACACCAGCAGGCACCACAGGCCTATCCACAGTACCAGGGCGACGAAGATTTCAACAACTTGGCGGGGCAGATGGGCGCAGTCGGGTTAGGCGGGGAGCAAGTGGCACAGCCAAAGCATAAGAAGAAGAACAGGCATGCATACCACAATATCGAGGGCCCTGGAGGAAGCCAACAGTCTTTCAATGGCATGTCTCCTAATGGCACACCCGCGCAGTTCAATAACCAGAACTCGCCCCAAGTTGATGGAGCGCAATGGATGGAACCTCAGGTCACCCCCGCTATGAGCCAGTTTCCCGCACCAGCGAACCCAGTCTTCAGTCCTGGCGCTCAGGCATCTCCTATGCAGTATGCTGCGAGGACAGCCGCATCGCCACATCAACCAGGTGGAGCAGCCGTAGGATCGGCACAGGGACGTGTGGACCCCGAACAGATACCCAGTGTGCCGAAGTCGCGAGATGCGCCAGCCAAATACTATCTGGAGCACGTATATCCTACTATGGAGCACCACCTACCTCCTCCGGCTACTGTTCCATTTGTGTCTTTTGACCAGGGCAATTCCTCGCCAAAGTACGCACGCCTAACTATGAACAGTATCCCACTCACTGCACAGGCACTTGCTGCGACTTCTTTACCACTGGGTATGATCTTGCAACCACTGGCTGCTCAGCAGGAAGGTGAACAGCCAATTCCGGTACTAGACTTTGGCGAGACTGGACCACCAAGATGCACAAGGTGTCGAGCTTACATGAATCCGTTTGTGCAATTCAAATCTGGTGGTAACAAATTTGTATGCAATCTTTGCAGCTACCCCAACGATGTTCCTGGAGAGTACTTTTCACCTACAGATATGGCTGGCGTACGGATAGACCGGTTGCAGCGACCTGAACTTACCCTCGGTACGGTCGACTTCATGGTACCAAAGGAATACTGGTCTAAGGAGCCTGTCGGTTTACGATGGCTATTCTTGATTGATGTCACTTCTGAGGCTGTGAACCGCGGCTTCTTGTATGGTTTCTGCGAGGGGATCTTGGGCGCTCTGTACGGTGAATCAAGAGGCGAGGCAGAAGGGACAGAAGCCACAAGCCGGATACCGAAGGGTGCAAAGGTTGGTATCGTGACCTTTGACAAGGAGATGCACTTCTACAACCTCAGCCCCAACTTGACTAGCGCTCAGATGTTGGTCATGTCAGATCTTGAGGACCCCTTTTTGCCATTCAGTGAAGGCTTGTTTGTCGATCCTGTCGAGTCAAAGGGCGTCATCACCTCACTTCTCACGAATTTACCAAATATGTTCGCTGAGGTCCATCATCCTGAACCGGCTCTCCTTCCTACCTTGAACTCTGCGCTACAGGCACTGTCAGCAACGGGCGGAAAGATAGTGTGCTCTTTGGCCGCACTGCCTACCTGGGGTCCTGGCCGACTTGTACTCCGCGAAGATGGCAATCAACTCAATACTGACGCTGAGAAGAAGCTATTTCAAACTGAGCACCCTGGGTTCAAGAAGCTTGCCGAGAAGATGGTACAGAATGGTATTGGCGTCGACTTTTTCCTTGCTGCGCCCAGTGGAGGATACTTGGACATTGCAACAATAGGTGAGTGATGTCATCATCGGCTCGTAACTACTACTAATTGTCATTGATAGGTCATGTATCTGCTGCAACAGGCGGAGAGGTCTTCTATTATCCAAATTTCCATTCTCCAAGAGATCTGCTCAGACTTTCCAAAGAGGTCCAGCACACGGTCACGCGAGAAACCGGATATCAAGCGCTGATGAAGGTTCGATGCTCGACTGGGTTGCAGGTCTCTGCCTACCACGGCAACTTCTACCATCACACATTCGGAGCCGACTTGGAGTTTGGAGTTATTGATCAAGACAAGGCTATTGGTGTGATGTTTAGCTATGACGGCAAGCTGGATCCCAAGCTCGATGCGCACTTCCAGAGTGCACTCCTATACACAGCTGCAAACGGTGAGCGCCGAGTAAGGTGTAGCAACATCGTAGCCAGTGTTAGTGCAAACACTGGTGAATGCATGAAGTTTGTCGACCAGGATGCAGTGGTGAACATCATTGCCAAGGAAGCCGCTGCTCGTATGACTGAGAAGAACCTGAAGGAGATTAGAGGAGCTCTGACGGAGAAGACGGTCGATATTCTTTCTGGTTACAGGAAGAACTTCTCTGGCAACAATCCTCCTGGTCAACTCGTACTACCGGAGAACCTCAAGGAATTCAGCATGTACATTCTTGGTTTGATCAAATCACGCGCTTTCAAGGGCGGTAAGGAGCCCACGGACAGGAGGGTCCATGACATGCGGATGCTCAAGTCCATGGGGCCTCTGGAGCTTTCGTTGTATCTTTACCCAAGAATCATCGCAATTCACAACCTCGATGCCGGCGATGGATTCGCCAACGAAAAGGGTCATCTGGTCATGCCTGAGTGTACACGAGCATCCTTCTCTAAGTTTGAGGAGGGTGGCGCGTACATTGTTGATAACGGTCAAGTATGTCTGCTGTGGCTGCACTCACAAGTCTCGCCCAATTTACTCGAAGACCTCTTCGGCGAGGGCAACAATAGCCTTAAAGTACTGGATCCGTTCCAGTCTTCACTCCCAATTCTCGAAACTCATCTCAACGCGCAAGTACGAAACATCCTGCAGTACCTAGCCACCACGCGCGGCTCCAAGGCTCTTACGATTCAGCTTGCACGACAAGGTCTGGACGGATCAGAGTACGAGTTCGCTAGGTTGCTCTACGAGGATCGGAACAATGAGGCGCAAAGCTATGTAGACTGGCTTGTGCATGTTCACAGGCATATCCAGTTAGAGGTACTTTGATCTTGCGGTAACTTTGCCAGCCAGTTCCGCTAACTCTTGTACAGCTTGCAGGACAGCGACCCAAGAAGGATGATCTAGCCGACGTAGGATCGACTTTTGTCGGGTTGCGAACACCGTATTGGGGCTAAAAGTGTTGCTGGGCGTCGATGAGTGTGTATTGCATAGCGAAGGTGGGAGCGTGGCGCATTCGGTTGTTGCGAGATAGGAATATGTAATTTGACAAAATCTTCATTACGATTCTTTCACTTCCATCACCTGAACTCTGCTGGCTTTGCTTTGATTGCTTTGACGTTCGCTGTGCTGTCCAACGACCCGTCAACACGTGACCATCGGAGAAACTAGTACACCGTCGTTAGCGCCATCTCGCTTAGGATCTTCCGCCCACTGGACCAAAACAGCCTCAGCGATCGAACTTTCAGTCTCTCGCAACTAACCAAACAGCGACAGTCAACATGCCTACCCGACTGACCAAGACTCGCAAGCACCGCGGCCGTACGTTATACCATACTGCTCCGTCCAAGCGACTCGATTGCCGACCACATTCTTCTTTCCGGCGCTCGATCGATGCGATTGCGCTGAAGTTGTCGCCTTGAGAAAGAATAGAGGAAGGAAGACGAGTCGCTGGGATGAGACGGGAATATCGATGGAGGACTGAAGGCTAACTCATGTTCAGATGTCTCCGCTGGTCACGGACGTGTCGGAAAGCACAGGAAGCATCCCGGTGGTCGTGGTATGGCCGTAAGTTTTGGCGTATCCTATGTGATAATGCAATCTCACTAACAAGACGTCTAGGGTGGTCAACACCACCACCGCACCAACATTGACAAGTACCATCCCGGTTACTTCGGAAAGGTCGGTATGCGTTACTTCCACAAGATGCAGAACCTTTTCTGGAAGCCCGTAATCAGTAAGCTGAGGCCCTGTCGCATACACACCTTCAATATCTAACCTGTCGCAGACCTGGACAAGCTCTGGTCGCTCATCCCCGCCGACAAGCGTGACGAGTACCTCGCCAACAAGGGAGGAAACGCTCCCGTCCTCAACCTCCTCGACTACGGTTACTCCAAGGTTCTCGGCAAGGGCCGTCTCCCTGCCGTCCCCATTGTCGTCCGCGCCCGTTACGTCAGCGCCGAGGCTGAGAAGAAGATCAAGGAGGCTGGTGGTGTCGTCCAGCTCGTCGCATAAGCAGTTACAGCATGATGTACATGATATGGCGTCTCGGATCACACAAAAGGATAGGGTCTTAAGGGTCCACAGTGCCTACGGGCCTGTGTAGACTCGTGTTCAGCGTGGTGGCTGAGGAATGTTTCATAGAAAATATGACCATTCCTGAATCAACCTTGGATACCCAGCAGTTCCGCGAGGGTGGGCTGTGAGTGTTGTACGTACTCTAGGCATGTGCCGTGAGTTTTTTTTGCGTGAAGTGATGCTGTGATGTTGAGACGAAGTGATGTCTGTTGATACTAACTCCCAAGATTTGCTATCTCGCAGTCTCCTTGGAGGCTTTGCTATGAGTAACGTACATTATGTCTGTACGACTTTTGATACTATGAACTTTATGCTGCACTAACCATAACCTTCGTATCTGGCTTGGATGTTCGGAATATGCTTTCAATTCTGGTATCTGCCTTCAACTCCGTACAGGACAAGACTGCGCTATGCTCATCGCTTCATTACATTACAAACATTATCTATAATAGTTATAAAAAAAAGATATTTCTCAAGGCTTGCGCCCATAGTCCCTCTTCTACTCGTTTCTGATCCACATGCCTCCCTCCTCTTTACGCCGCAATAAACCGAGTGTTGTTCACATGCTCTTCTCGCAACGATTCATCAACGATGCCGTATTAATCGTTATGTTCCTTGCTTGATATATGGAGGCAGGACACCAATCTGTCCTGTATTCCCGACTCTCCCTTCTTTTTTACTTCATAACTCGAAAAAAGCACAAAACTCACTCATGTACCTCTGGCGTGCGATAACTCCTCGGCAACGTCGCAGTACTCGACTGCGAGCGCAGTTCATTTCGCGCAGCACCGTCATCCTGACTCTCCCTCCTGACCCTGAAATGCCTCTCCAGCGCCCCTCTAACACTACTTTCTGGTGAATCGGCTACTGTAAAGCCGCCGGGGAGTTCTGGTGTCGTTGTTGCACTTTGGGTCTTGGCTGCTGGTCGTGGTACGATAGGTGCTGTAGTGCTCGTGGCAGCAGCAGTGGTGGATGTGGAAGGAGGAGGAGGAGGAGGAGGAGGAGGAGGAGGAGGGGAAGTAGAACCAAACGTCCCACTCCCCCTCCTATCCCGATCAATATCCAACATCAGATTCCGAATCTCCTGCGCTGTTTCGGAGCGTAAGCGTAAGTCTTCGAGGCGGGTTGTGCGCAGGCGGTCGCTGAGGCTTGAAGGGGAGGAGCCTGACGAGGCGGAGCGGCGTTGGTGTGGGGAGGGTTGGGGTGCGGGTTGTGAGGATGATCGGGTTTTTGGGATTGAGAGGAGGGTTGGGGTTTGGGGTGCGGAGGGTGGATGAAGAGCGGTGGCGGTGGCGATGGGGGTTGTGGGTGTGGATGTGGATAGGAGAGGTGGAGGTGGAGTTATTGGAGATACTGGAGAGGTGGGTTCTGGTGTGGGCTGTAGGTTGTTTGTGATTTGAACTGGGAGAGTGTTCGTGGGTTGGTTGTTCTCGTTCGTCGTGTCTTCGTCTCTGGGTTCTGGGATAGTCGTCTCGGGCTCTTGATCTCTGTTCTGCATCTGGATCCTGGTATCGTGCTCTCTCGTTTCTTCCTCTGCTGCTATTCCTGCGTCTTGAACTTCTCCGCGCCCTTGTCGTAACTGTTCCTTTGACCTCTTCCAAATTGTCTGGGGATTCCGCATTTTCCTTGCGAGATACGCCATACCGAACTTCTTCGGCACGGGTGCCACATCGGGGGGCTGAACCTCATTCTCGACTGCTCTCGCGGGAAACTCTGGAGTAAATGTTTCGGGACGGCAACCAAATGTATCTCGAAGCCTATCAGCGCCGCTTCTCTTTCTCCCTCTTGCATCGTCTCCCGCTTCGTGTCGTACTGCAGTAGAAAAACTCTCCTCGCTCCTAACTGACCTCACGACCCTACTCGTCGCTTCTGACATCCGACCCATGGTGTCCTGCGCCCGCCCTTTCTCTCCGGGATTTAAGCTACTAATAAACGCGCTCTCGAAGCCTGACGTGGCTGTTTCCCCATGCGGATGCGCCAGCGAATCCAGTAAGCCCTTGCGCACAGGTGAAAAAGAAAGCGAACTTGGCTGGACCGCCGTACTGCGCTTCGCCACCAAAGAAGAATTCCTCAAAGCCGAGCGCGACGAGCCAGCGTGGTAGCAAGATAACGTGTCCCAGTAGCTTCGTCTCTGGAGTGCATCAAGGCCGTGAAAAGGGTGGTTGGGCGGAAACTCTACATTATCGTCATTGCGTCCGGGAATGCCATCGTCGTCATTATTTGCACTCTCGCTTTCATTCTCTTCAGCAAAGTTCTCGTGACGGGGCCGTTGGTCCCGCCTCGCGCTCCGGCTGCGGCTCCGGGACGATGCCGACGCAGACGAGGACAGGCAAGAACAAGAAGTTAGTGCGAGCGACACACGATGCTGATTCGTATACAAAGGCGCTACTGTAGGCGAGATGGTGTGGTCAGAGGGCCATACGGAGAATTTTGAATGCACGGTCGAGGGCGCGGGCGTGACGGGGCGGCGGGATGATGGTGGGCATGTGGCAGGAGGTTGGGTGAGGGAGGTTGGTGTGCAGGAGGGGTAAGGTTCCGAAGAGCATTGATTTTTTGTGATATTGACATCGTTGATAGTATCGAGTTCGGGGTTACTGCGGAGGAGAGCGGCAGTCGAGTGCGCGTGGTTGGAGAATAGATCGTCGACTTCCGAGTCGGGATTGGACGATGATGCTGATACTTTGACTTGCTCGTCGCTAGTACAGTGGTGTGATGAAAACGTCATCCCTTCATCCCCATGCTGGCTATCTGCGAAACTTCTCAGCGCATCTCGAAGCATTTGCTCTTCCTCTTTACCAATCTGAATTTCTTACGATTAGCATGCGCTTTCAGTACAGCAATTGTTTGCATCTCTGTTCATTGACTCGCGATTGTGCACAAGCGAACTCACAATAGTAGCAAAACGGTCCCCGCGCAAATACATTTCCTGCACTTCCTCTAATCTCTTCTTTCTCATCTCCCTGCTATTCAGGATGTGCCATCCTACATAGCTCTCCGTATTCTTCTCTTCCGCTCCCTTTTCGCGTCTCAGAGGCTCCATGCTATCGGTTCTTTCGTAAACCTCATTCAACTCGAGCTCCAATTCTCTCTCCCATTCTTTGTTGACATCTTCTCTACTATCGCTTTGCGCATAATGCGTAACGAGCGATGCAGCAAGTTTCTGTCGTGCTGACTCGCCCCTCCAGCCTAGGCCGCCTCGTTCCATACTGCGCGCTATTCTGCGTTTGAGAGTGTTGCTATTACATCGGATGACAGCGACACGGTCGCTAACGCGGACATATGCCGAACTCCGTTCAGTAGACATTGTTGAGCAGGGTACAAGGCTTGAGGGTTTAGCATTGCGGTTATACTGACAATTTTGAGAGATGGGATTAGGATGTGTAAGAGCTGTTGTATTGACATGTGGGTTTATGATACAAGTTCGGGTCCGAAGACAGGGTATCGATGAAATTGCGTGGCGAATGCTTCGTGATTACATCACCTATATCATACCCTTACGGCTGGGCTTCGATCTGAAGATTGCTTTGTCGCAGGTGTCATTATCGGGGGCTGACCATTAGGCATCAATCATGCAGTTGTGTTGAAATTAGGTGTTAATTCGGTGGAACTTGAAGCATTGACGATGCCAGATACCGGATCACAGCAGCCGGCAATCAAGTGCAGACAATACAAACATGTACACAATACGCCACAATAATAGGGACGAGTTATATTAGGGTATCCACCAGACTATCACGCCTTTCCATCCAGCCCTAGCAACTCCTGTAACACTATCTTTGCTTTTCCAGGCTCAACGCCACCATCTGGGGCTCGCGCCACCATCTGTCCAACAAACCACATAGTCTTCTTTACGTGACCCTTTTCAGTGATGTCCTTGACCATTTTGGGATTTTCTTCCAATAGTGTCTTTGCCAGGTTGACATATTCTTCTTGGCTCAGGGGCTGTAAGAATAGGTTTTCTTGGTGGACGATGTCCTGAACACTACGTGCATCTCCCTCGAACTTGATCGCAAGTAGACGCTTCGCTGATGGTGACGTGACCTCTTTGCGGCGCACAAATGAGATCACTTCGGCGAGATCTCTGGCTGAAACGCGGCTAGGATCCCATGGTTCGTCTTTGAATAGAGAGCCGAGCTCCATAAGCACCCTGAGTGACTTAGCCTTAATCCACAAAGAAATCTACACATTATACATACCAGTTCCCTGCAATCTTTCCAAGGGTTTGTAACAAAGCACTGTCCTGTTGCTCTTCGGCTAGGCGCACCGATTCGGTAACGACATCCATGTAGTACTCCAGACGTTCTCCATCATCAAATGAAAGAAGAGTGATGGCATCTTTGGTAGTTAGGCCGTAATTGTGTACCAGAACATCTACGTTGACATCGGGAAGTTTTGGCAGAGTGTTCTTCAGGTGTTCGACCAGATCCTAGAGACAGTCAGCAGTGGTCTCGAGATGCAGATCAACACATGACTTACCTCTCCTATGATCACAGGCGCAATATCAGGGTCCGGCATGTACCGGTAATCAATCTCACCCTCTTTGCCTCTCAATCGTTTCGTGGTCTTACTTCCAAGAGTCCACCCACGGGTCTCGCCCTCAACAGTACCTCCGCTCTCAAGCAAATCAATCTGTCGGTCACGCTCTGCAATGATGGCATCCTCGACAGCCTTGACACTTGCCAAGTTCTTGATTTCAGTCCGTTGACCCAGGCCAGTGATACCAGAGTATGAGTGACTGGATTTAGATGAGTCCGCATGGCGTTGGCGAACAGAAACGTTGACATCAGCGCGCAGACCGCCTAGCTCCATGCCAGTAGTACAAGAGTTGACAGCCTTGAGTATATTTTGGATCTTTCGGACAACGACGGCAGCTACCACAGGGTCATGAATTTCAGGGAGAGTGATGATCTCAATTAGTGGATGTGAGACGCGGTTGAAGTCCAGCAAATGGGTAGAGGGCGGTTGCTGCACGGTCTTTGCGGTGTCCTGCTCCATTTGTATCTGCTTGATGCCGATATCGAAAGGTTCTGGATGCGGCACCGCGCCGGCAGGAAAGTCGTGGGGGTATAGTGTAACTTTACCATTTTTCGCAAAGGGTTCGTAGTACTGCGTGATTTGATACCCGGATGGCTGATCTTGATAGAAGTAGTGTTTACGGTCAAAGCTGCTCTTAGGCTGAATCTCGCATTGGAAAGCTATAGCGGCGCGCAAGGCAGGAAGAAGAGTCTCCTTTTGGAAATGAGGTTGGGTTCCAGGAAATGCGACGTCAAACAGGGAAACATGTGTATTCGGGGGTTCGCTGACAGAAGTGGCAGCGCCAGAGAAAAGTTTCCGCGCTGTGTTGAGTTCGGCATGCACCTCGATGCCAACAGTCAATTCCCATTTCTCCAAACGCGCATCTTTGGACTTTTTAGAGGAGTCTGTAGAAGATCCCTTTTCCTTCTTCTGCTGCTTTGCGGCGTCTTTCAAGAGCTTGCGGAAAGAAGTTCTATCTTGAGACGATGGCGGTGATTGGGTTTCAGTTTGGATAGATCGTGTCGTGAACGCAGTGAGACGGTGTACAGCGTCCAATGGAAGAGTTCTAGCCAGGTGTAGACATGTTCGGCATACATATACCTGTTTTGATGCTGCAGCGAGACTGTTGCGAGTACTGCGAGCAAACATGATGTGAAGTCTGATGAACTGCAGTTCTGACGCCTTGCACAGATGCGGGCGGTCCGTGCTCACTTCCGAGAGACAATGTCAACCACCGATTGCCTGAACATCAGCAAACCGGGTCTTCGCCAACGCTGGAATCTCTCGCGTCATCTGACACTTCCAAAGTGGTCTGGTATTTGGCTCGAAGATGTAAAGAGCCGTATTGGAATGCGGGTGTATTCGATGGTGCCATGTAGTACGCAGCGTTTGACGTGTAGAAAACTGTGTAGTAAGGCACTGTGTCGACGGCGAGTATCCTTAGTCGATGTATCAGGCCGGTGAATGCTGGAACCACCGGCGATTTCTATGCAAATCGGCCTTTCTGTTGATCTCCTTCTGAATGCTGGTTGCCCAATGCTTCAAGCGGTTACGGAGCCTTTCCCACGCCTCCGGTTCTTTGAATCTTCCCGACGGGTGTTTGAAATCTCCAGGATGTATATATACTCCCGGCCACTGAGTAAAATCCGATTCTGATTGGTAATTCGTGTTGGGGGAAAATCGAACACAACGACCACTGCGGACACTCGCCATGCAAGCAGTCATTCAAGAGATCTTGCCGTCGGGCTTGCCACAACCCAACTGAGTTTTAGGAACGAAGTCAAACGCGGAAATATCACGAACCAGTGGGGGTGCCAATCGTGTGACTGAAATTAGAATAGGGGTACGTGCTCAGACCCAGTCAGGTACAAGCAACAGTGTCTAGCAAAGCCGAACTCTGTTCTTGAGCTCTCTCATTCTCATGCGCAATATGCTCTGCTGTACCTTCAGATCAGCCTTCTTTTTGGCTCTGAGTCTGGCACGCACTTCCTTCTGTTTCCTTTGTTTCTTGATAGCTCTTCTTTGCTCACCAGGTTCTCGTGGGTCCTTCGGTCTTGGCTTGTAGTACTGGCGTGCACCTGGGGCTGGGGCCGGGATGATGCAACTCGTTACAGCACCAGTCACACCGGCAGCACTGCTCATCAAAATGTTTGAATTCCCGAGGTTTCTTCAATGAAACTCAGAGCCTCCCGTCTCTAAAGCTCTTTAGTCTGTGCGCAAGTCTCTCTCGCTCTAGGAAAAGTTCAGCGCGAGCGCGAGATACACGCCAGGTCCTTTTTTGCTTCTTAACTTGTGCCTGCTCGAACTTTCGAAGACGCTCACGGGCAACGTGCAATCGCTCTGTTGCTGAAAGGGGTCGTCCTGAATACGAGTGTGTTCTAGGGTTGTGTCCTGCGTGAAAAATGGTCTTGCGATTGGCAATGGATCGTGGGAGAGGAAAGAGTGGTTTCCTGAGCACTTTGGGTTTGGTTTGTCGAGATTCGGAGCCTCGAGTGATAAACAGTGAATCAAGCGGCATGTAACTAAGAATCGCTATAGTGCATAGGTAGTTGGCTCAGGCAAGGGGCTGGGTATCCCTCGAGTCGATGACCTGAGCGGCAGGAGATAGTGCGGAAAGCCCGTTGCGTGCGGATGATGCTGACGGAGCAATGATATTTAGGCTGGGTTGCGAGTTAGAATATTATAAGTTACGTTTATCGTACTTAGTATGGGCTCAGTACCTATTGTGGATCTGTTCAATATCTGTATCGTTTCACGGAGACAAGCCGATGTGTATGGATGATGACACTGAGGTATGTGGGGATGTAAGTGTGAGGGCTGAGGTTTGTAACAGTAGGTTCAACAGATGGTGAGGAGGTGGTAGCTCATCGTACTTGCCGCACCTGCTCAAGTCAAGTGTCAGGTGGCGACAAAACATTATGGGAACTACAGTTGGCTCACAACAAGTCTTTGAGAAGGAGCCATTCACTGATGAAAGAATTTAAAAGGAAACAATGTGTGTCACAAACAGCAATCCTTGCAAATGATGACTTTACAAACAAATATCTTAGTCATCTGCTCAAAGGATACGTACTTGAAAAAGCCTGTCAGAACCATGAGCATCAAATCAAATCAATCCATATATTGACCAGTATCTTAAATTCTATATGACTCCCGAACTCCTTAATACCAATTTATCACAAGTACCATAATACCAAATATCAATCCCCTTCCTTGCAGCTCGATGATTCTCTCTTCTAGAAGACAAATTTCCGATCACCCATGATACCCCACAGCTCCTGCACTACAGCCTTCTGTTCCTCAGGCTTCGCATGCCGAACAGCAAAGTACAAACGACCCTCAAGAGACGGATCCCAGTCGCCAGGGTTAGCGCTAGCAACAATACCGCCAGCCTCCTCCAGGATAATCCAGCCAGCACAGACATCCCATATCCAAACACCGCCTTCCCAAAAGACATCGATGATGCCTTGTGCGACGTAGCAGAAATCCAAGGCTGCGGAGCCGTTGGAGCGGACGGACTTGCACATGGCTCCGCCTTCCACCTTGGAAGTCAGAAGCTTGTTGTGTACGGAGGTCCGGAGGGCCCAGTTTTCACCGGAGCGCTGGTTTCCCCATTCGAGAGCGACGAGACAGGAGTTCAAGGATGGCATTGGCGGGGGTACGGGCTGGATCGGAAGCTTGAGCTCGATTCCGAGGAGCGCATTGCTGAGGTAGGCGCCCCGACCTTTGATCGCGTGGTAGAGGTCGCCTCGGAAAGGGTTGTATACAACGCCGATGATAGGTTTCTTCTCGAGAGTCAGCGCAAGAGAGATAGCACAGTTGGGCACGCCCTTGGAGAAGTTCAAGGTTCCATCGATTGGATCACAGACAAACGTAGGGGTATCAGCAAGCTTGGTGCCATGCTTGAACGTCTCCTCTCCAAGGAATCTGAAGGCCGGGTATTCTTTGCGTAGGCGGGATTCCACCGTATCTTCGATCTGCTTGTCGAACTCGGTGACTAGGTCGGAGGTATTGTTCTTGTACTGTGCTGCTATAAGGACTGAGTGCTCGGCGGCCACCATGATTTTGCCACAATCAATAGCAATCTCCACAAGTAGATCATGGATCTTGCTGAGATGGTCTTCAGTCAGACCATGCTTGGATAGCGCAAGCTTGAAGTCTTGGGAGTGCATGGAGGTCATCTTCGGGATCGTGGTACTTTGCGGTGCGGGAGTACCGATTGTGCTTGTAGAAGAAAGACGATTCGCAGTTGAGTTTGAGAACCTGCGAATATGTATATGAGGATTTGCTGGAGATGAACAACGTGGTTGAAAAGCTGTTTGAGGACTGGGTTGGAGTCTGCCTCCGTAGGAAAAACTACTACCATTTATATCCATGGTGGTGAGGGTGGTGGTGAAGCGGCGTTGTAACAACGGAGGTTGGTAGGAGGTGGTTTGTCGCGACTGTATCTTGACAATGTTGCTATCTAGGTAGATGGGAGAACTTTTGCTGTAGCATGTGAAAGCTTTGTTTAGTGTAGTACAAACAGCTAACCTCGAATTCCAACATTGTGAAGGCGGCATTGTGTCAAAGCATGATTGAAATCATCGAGCTCCAGGTTCTAGATTTGGCGCAAGGATTGAAAGTCATGGTCGAGGAACACCTGTTTGCTGGGGAGATTTAGTAAAAAGCACTGCTCTGTTGTTGGGCGATGGCGTGCCAAAGCGTATCTCGAGGACAAAACGGGCCGGCTTATGCTCTCACCTCGGCTCAACGGCTCTGATAGGACACGGCAAATGCCACCACACCACCTAGAAGCAACAACGCCAGCTGTTTACTACACACTATACAGTGAGATATCTTGTAAAGCGGGGTGGAGTTTCTACAAATACTTGCATAGACCAGGATTATGTCTCGAATCGCGCTCTAGCAATGTTACTTGCAGCTCTCTGAGCAGGAGGTAGACTGGGTGAGATGGTTGTCGAGCCAATGAAAAGTAACATGTTAAATTTAGGTCGTTGAGGGTATCACTACGCTAAAGTTGTGATCTCTTAGTTCATCTTAATTACACTCCCCTCTCGTTGGCCCTTGGCCATGGTCCGCATTATGAACCACATCTTCGTGCTGCACTGCTGCATCCACTCCACAAATGTGCATCTTTTCACAAGGACGCATAGAATGAGACCTACCCCAGGGTTTCCCTCGAGCTTCATCGTCTTGTCTATAGCGAAGAATCCGCTTTCCATTGGAATGCAAAACAAATAGAATGCAGGTATGGACAGGGATGTACTTGGAAAAAGAGACCAAGAGAGTCAACTAACCTTTGAGGTTACTTGACGCAAGGTCGATGACAGGATTGCGTGCGGCAATCGCGGTCGCCAGCTTGATCCGATTGAGCATCTGGTACAAAAATGACATGATACCTCAACCCAATACCCTCGGGCCGCTTGACTTGCTCTTCTTCTGAACACCGCGGGGTATGAACATGGCCGGAGACGCGACGACGGCGGGAGTACTGCTTGAGCCGGGCTTGTCCTTGTTGTCCTTGTTTTTGTTGTTCTTGTTCTTGCCCTGCTGCTTGTGCCTGTCTTCCCGCTTCGCGATGGGCTTGATCTCGGACGTGGCTCGCTTGATGAGGACCGGGTGGCTGCCAATGTACTTGCCCTGCATTTCCTTTGCGGCTCGGAAATAATCGTCGGTGTCGGCAAAGCTGACGAAGCCATAGCTCTTGCTCTTGGTCGACTTTTTGTCTCGGACGACGCGGGCCTTTGAGAGCGAGGGGTACTTTGCGAAAGCCTTGAGGAGCGAATCATCAGTGACTTCACCAGCAAGATTTCCTATGAAAAGTCGGGGGTGCAGAGGGTTCCACTCAAGCAGAGTCTCGTCCTCCCATTGCTTTCCACCTCCCTCGCGAACTACAGTCTTGCGCTTTCCGTCAGGTCCGAGACCAATCTCGGCCTCGTTGGCGGCAGCAGCTTCTGGGCGGGCGGTGACGCTTGGGTTGGCGCCCTTTTTTGCGTTGGTGTCGGCCGCGTTGTACGCGCTGTTCCACTCTGCAATACGTGCCTCTTCTTCGGGGTCGTACGCGCCACCATATCCGCGGTTCACGGAAGGAGCAGCTGAGTAGGTGGAAGCAGGAGCACCCGATGCATAGGCTGGGTACGAGTAGTTGTTGTAAGCATTGCTGGTCGGGTAAGCGGGTGCTTGATATGGAGCGCTCACTGTGGCTTGCGAGTAGTTTGCTGCGGCAGAAGATGGCTGAGGGGGCGCGTGGGCTGCTACCGAGCGCGGTGTGAAGCCTTGAAACATGGTGGAATTGCTCTGTGCTCGCGCGCCTGTGCTGTTGTTACTGTTGTTAGGTCTCGACGGCGAGGTCGAGTGGGTTGCAGGAGGAGGACGGGCGGGGAGAGAGTGGTGCGGCTGCATGGCGTCTAGGCAGCAAGGTGAGCGGTGAGGGCGAGTTCAGGCTGGTGATGGCAAGGCAGTGACTCGGGTAGTGCGACGGTGATGGTGAGGGGCGTTTGTATGGTGGGAATTAATGCCGCAGAGAGAGGGTGTGCCACAGGCAAGCAAGTGGTGAAAAAGTGGGTGGCAGGGCTGGTGGTGGGCGGCGTCGGAGATCGGCGTTTGAAGGGCGTGGGAGGGAAGGGCGGGCCGGTGCAAATTGGCAATTACGTGGGATGGCGTGTGATGGGGGCGCGGCGTGACGTTTGGTGTTGTTATTTGTTGCGTCTGCGACGGAGAAAGAACGACACAGTCTCAGACATGGCCCGAAACCGCCGGGTCACGTGCGGGCCGGCCTATCTACTCTACTTACCATGTACATACACTACACAGTACGTACATGCTGCCTGTCAATATATGCGGCTGTGCGGCCATCCATCGGGCCTTTCAGCCTGTCCGCCATCCACCCACTGCCACCATCCCGCCCACTCTCCCGCCCACTCTCCCGCCCATGGCTGTCTACGTAACTAGCGACGGGCCTCCAAGCAGGCACAGCACACATCGGATAACATTTGCTTTGACCCGCTCCCCACCGGCCTTTTAGCCTGGCCATGTCGCCCTGCCACTCGCTTTCCGGTGCCCATGCCTGCCCTCTAGCGTGTCCGACCACCCCTGTACGCTGCCCCTCGTCCCGTAATGCTGTGTTAAGGCTGAGAGGCGGAGGGGCCGGCGTCATGGTGTGCAGGCAAAAACGGAGCGCCTTGAAGCAGCCGCATCTACGCGTGTTCCCCTGTGTGTCCGGCTGTATGCTCATAGCCGCTATGTGTGAGAGACGGAGAGTTGAGACAGCAGGTTGAGCGAGGCGTCGCATTTGCAGCCATTGCCATGGCCAGTCTGCTCGCATCTGGACGGCCCCATCGGCAGGCTGCTTGCTAAGCATGAGCAGTGTTTGTTCAGCACGCAGCCAAATGGGCAGCGCAAGCAATTCCTCCGTACCAACATGCGCAATTGGCAAGAGCCGCTTACGGGGCATTTGGCCTTACCGCCGCGGCCGAAGCTATCCTCCATGACCTGTGATGCTGGGATCTGGTGGGACGTGCCAACATTGATGCAATAGGTAGCCTGCCCCGCTTGTTTCCAAAGTCTTCCGGCGACTACATTATCTCAGAGACCCCCACCAAGCTTCCTCTTCCTTCTTCTTGTCAATCACCCGCTCAAAAAGCTTCAATTGCCCTCAACTGTTGTAGCCCGGTCGCTGCAACTTTTACCCCGCCATCCCCCTCCACCCAACCACACACCTACACACCTCTCTTCACGACAAAAGCAATCATGACTGAGGCTGTCGGAGACTTCGGCCTCATCGGCCTGGCCGTGAGTATGCTCCAGCCAGGCATTGCCATGGCTCGCATCTTGGAAAACTCGGCATGTGCTGATACCAGTCCTAGGTCATGGGTCAGAACTTGATCCTCAACGCGTAAGTCTTCTACCGCACTCTCTACGATATCAATCAAATACTGACATAATCTAGTGCCGACCACGGTTTCACGGTACGAGCCACGTCTTGACAACTCATCGAGTTCAGAAAACTAACTTCGTCCTCAGGTCGTTGCTTTCAACAGAACGTAAGCGCGATAACTACACACCCTCGGGAACTTCACTGACATCCAGCCAGCGTCGCCAAGGTCGACCGATTCCTGAACGATGGCAAGTCTTGTACTGCAATTACTTGCCAACAAAACTAATGACAAAAACAGAGGCCAAGGGCAAGTCCATCGTCGGTGCTCACTCCATCGAGGAGTTTGTCGCCAAGCTCAAGAAGCCCCGCCGCATGATGATGCTCGTCATGGCTGGTAAGCCCGTCGACGACTTCATCGAGCTCCTCCTCAAGGGAGGTGCCGAGGAGGGCGACATCATCATCGACGGTGGTAACTCCCACTATCCCGACACCAACCGCCGCACCAACTACCTCAAGGCCAAGGGCATTCGATTCGTCGGAACTGGTGTCTCTGGAGGAGAGGAGGGTGCTCGCTATGGCCCCAGTATCATGCCTGGTGGTAACGAGGAGGCCTGGCCTTACATCAAGGTACGGAGTCTATCAAGAAACGACGAGGCATATCTGACAGCCACTTAGGATGTCCTTCAATCCATCTCCGCAAAGTCTGACGGCGAGGCCTGCTGCCAATGGGTCGGTGACGAGGGTGCCGGTCACTACGTCAAGATGGTCCACAACGGTATCGAGTACGGTGACATGCAGTTGATCTGCGAGGTGAGCAGAAACAGCGAAACAGCGAAACAGCGCAGAAATTGGAAACTGATGAAAAACTAGGCCTATGATATCATGAAGCGCGGTCTCGGCATGTCCAACAAGGAGATGGGCGACGTTTTCGCACAATGGAACAAGGGCGTTCTCGACTCCTTCCTGATCGAGATTACCCGCGATATCATGTACAAGAACGATGACGATGGCACTGCCATCGTTGAGAAGATCCTCGACTCTGCCGGTCAAAAGGGTACCGGCAAGTGGACCGCCATCAACGCTCTCGACCTCGGTATGCCCGTCACTTTGATCGGAGAGGCTGTCTTTGCTCGTTGCCTGAGTTCCCTCAAGCAGGAGCGTGGCCGTGCTGCTGGTCTTTTGGATGGCCCCAGCCCCAGCTTCACCGGTGACCGCAAGGCTTTCATCGACAACCTCGAACAGGCTCTTTACGCCTCCAAGATCATCTCCTACGCTCAGGGTTTCATGCTGATCCAGAACGTGAGTTGAACTGGTACCTCGGTCAGAAGAATTGGGCTAATACCATTATAGGCTGCCAAGGAGTACAAGTGGAAGCTGAACAAGCCAGAAATCGCCCTCATGTGGCGTGGTGGCTGCATCATCCGATCTGTTTTCTTGAAGGAGATCACCAAGGCGTAAGCACCAACTGGCTGCAGGCTTCAGCACAGTAGGCTAACCGTCTTTAGATACCGCCAAAACCCCGAACTCGAGAACCTGCTTTTCGACGACTTCTTCAGCAAGGCTATCCACAAGGCTCAGGCTGGATGGAGAGAGTGAGTGGTTTGCTTACGAAGTTGATAGAACAAAGTGCTGACAGTGTCATAGTGTCGTCTCCAAGGGTGCTCTCTGGGGTATCCCAACTCCCGCTTTCAGCACCGCGCTCAGCTTCTACGACGGATACCGCACCAAGGACCTTCCCGCCAACCTTCTGCAGGCGCAGCGTGATTACTTTGGCGCACACACCTTCAGGATCAAGCCTGAGTACGCCAACGATACATACAAGCAGGGCGAGGACATCCACGTCAACTGGACCGGAAGGGGTGGAAACATCTCTGCCTCGGTAAGTTCCACGAATTAATGCATCAATCAGGCTGTAGAAACTAACATATTTTGTAGACATACAATGCTTAAGCGTATCGTGCAGAACTTTTGTTGCAAGAGCACACCACCTTGCATAGGGCTCACAATTAAAAAATAATCAATGTGCAGAGCAAGATAGCACACATCAGAATGAATAATGATTCACATGTCCCATGTCTCCTGTGCCCTGATGAATGCAAGAGGTTATTTTAGCCCATGCGGTACTCCATGTTGTTAGAGACGCTAGCCCAAAGTAGAATCGTCTAAGCATGTACCCTTGGAAATGCCACCCCGCCATGAGGTAGAGTAGTACATAACGGTACTGCATAGTCGGGACCGACTCGGTATCATCTGGGACGATCAATTAGGACAAAGATAGAGGGAATTCGTGCAGTAGGCTGCACCCTGCGTGATTGGTGCACCAGCAAGCGCGCCGGAGCAAGCCTTGGCGACGTGAGCGCGGAAAGTTTACCCCCCCCCCAACACCACAACACACTGTGTCGGCTCCGAGCTTCAACAGCTCCCCACAAGCCCGCGCCTCACCACCACTTGGCTGCGTGCGCGCTCTTGCTTTTTCGTTTCTTTCATTCCTTTGAATTGCATATCCACTGCTTGTATGAGTCTTTGGCGTTAGGTCTTTAGCGTGTGCACCCGGCAAGACGAAAGAGGACCCTTGGTTCGCCATGGCGGACAACAAGCGCAACAGCGTTGCGGGCAAGGTTGCGACACCGAACCTCAAGGCTGGCACCACATCCAACAAGGACGTCATTGACGCTGATTCCAATCTGTACAAGGCCGTGGGATCGCGGTAAGCCCAGCTTGCCCCCTATGAGCGTCGGACCAGAGAGATCGCGCTGTTCGGGAGTATGCTGACAAGCAACAGCATCAAGATTACATGCGCTCCCGGCAAGAATGTCCTCGAGGGCACTCTCTTTACGGCCTGCAACATTACCCACGCCATAGCCATCAACACCGCGCCTGCCCCACCGAATCCCTCAGCCTCTGCCCTCAGCCAGCCAGGCGATTACCATATTATCCCTTTCGCACACATTGAATCTTTTGAGATTCTCGGATCAGGCGAGCGGGCGCCTGAGTCTACACCGGGCTTCAACGGAGCACTCCCTAGCATATCCAAGGTTGACCTAGCGGCACTGCAAGCCCGTGAAGATCAGACGATTCGCGAAATGAAGAAGAAGGATGCGCAGAAGGGCAAGGGCGTTAGTGCGGAAGCGCAGGAGCTATTCGATGCCATCTCGAGGACGTGAGTAATATCCGGTGAATACCTATAGGTACAGGGGCTCAGACTGACATGCAAACGAACAGACTACCGACCCGCTGGGCAGACACTCAGATTGTAGTTAGTGACTCAGTTTTGATCCAATCGCCATACACCCTCGACAGCATCCGAGCACCTGCCGACAAGGCGCAGGCTGAGAAGCACGTGCGCAAGATTGTCGAGCACTACTACCAGCGCAAGAAGGGAGCACAAGCAGGAGTAGCACGCGCTCCGGTTGCTGTGCCCAATGCCCCACGAAAGGGTGGCTAGACATACTGTAGCTTGTACAGATTTGGCTTGCTGCACTATTTTGAGGTAGAGATTAGGTCAAAGGATAGGCAAAATCTTTTCGACATGCAAATCACCGCACAGAACGGTTAGCAGCTAGACAGACGTGGCTGAGTTACCAAACCAGCCGCAGAGCCTAAGAGGTCTTACGCAGTAAGGAGAAAGAAAGAAGGGAAGAAATCAGAGAGGGGCGTGGAATGCTGAGAGTATGCCGCATGTGATTGCAATGGAGCCAAGGCTACATTGTTCTCGAATATGTGAAAGTGGGAGTACCCATCTTTTAAATAAACTACAAACAAAATGTTCAAACTTTCGAAACTATTTGTGCTATTGGTAACGTGATACGAGGACAGAGTACTGAGGACTAGTGCTGTCAGGAGAACGGTACTGGGATGTCTTACTTGTAGGTATAATATGTGACTGCCTGAGTTGAACTTGGGATGCATTACCGTGCTATTGCGCATTCTACTACCGCAGTCTCCCAGACTACCTTCAGGTCACCCCCTTTTGCTCATCTACGATTAGTAAACTTACACAAACAGCATAACAGGTTTTATAAAGAGAAAAAACATAAAGGTACCAGTGTACAAATTATTCATACATCCATCCACAAATCCTTCTTTTCTTACGTAGTACTTGAATCCATTTCCCTACCATCGCACTACCTCAAACACACGCACCCAAACTCCCCCTTTTATTCACTCCCTCATCTCGCTCCAACTCCGGCCCAAGAAAATACGCACTCGTATACTTACCTAATCAACCTAATTCTAACGTACTCCACCAGTAAGCTGGCCACACCAGTAAGCTGGCCGCCCCACCAAACCTGACCCAGCGCTCTACACAACCACCACAATGCCGCGCCAACAACGCTCTATACAGACTTCTCGTGAAGGCAGAATAAGCCTTGCTATA